GCCACCCTCAAACAGCGAGGCTGTGCCACCCTAAAACCCAGCGAGGCTTTGCCAGCGTCAAACAGCGAGGCTGGCCACCCTCAAACAGCGAGGCTGTGCCAGCGTAAAACAGGAGGCTGTGCCAGCGTCAAACAGCGAGGCTGTGCCAGCGTCAAACAGCGAGGCTGTGCCAGCGTCAAACAGCGAGGCTGTGCCAGCGTCAAACAGCGAGGCTGTGCCAGCGTCAAACAGCGAGGCTGTGCCAGCGTCAAACAGCGAGGCTTTTGCCAGCGTAAAACAGCGAGGCTGTGCCAGCGTCAAACAGCGAGGCTGTGCCAGCGTCAAACAGCGAGGCTGTGCCAGCGTCAAACAGCGAGGCTGTGCCAGCGTCAAACAGCGAGGCTGTGCCAGCGTCAAACAGCGAGGCTGTGCCAGCGTCAAACAGCGAGGCTGTGCCAGCCTCACAAGCGAGGCTGTGCCGGCGTCAAACAGCAGGCTGTGCCCCCTCAACAGGGAGGCTGTGCCAGCGTCAAACAGCGAGGCTGTGCCACCCTCAAACAGCGAGGCTGTGCCAGCGTCAAACAGCGAGGCTGTGCCAGCCTCACACAGCGAGGCTGTGCCGGCGTCAAACAGCGGGGCCTGTGCCACCCTCAAACAGCGAGGCTGTGCCACCCTCAAACAGCGAGGCTGTGCCGGCGTCAAACAGCGAGGCTGTGCCGCGTCAAACAGGAGGCTGTGCCAGCGTCAAACAGCGAGGCTGTGCCAGCCTCACATAGCGAGGCTGTGCCGGCGTCAAACAGCGAGGCTGTGCCGGCGTCAAACAGGGAGGCTGTGCCAGCGTCAAACAGCGAGGCTGTGCCAGCCTCACACAGCGAGGCTGTGCCAGCGTCAAACAGCGAGGCTGTGCCAGCCTCACACAGCGAGGCTGTGCCAGCGTCAAACAGCGAGGCTGTGCCAGCGTCAAACAGCGAGGCTGTGCCAGCCTCACACAGCGAGGCTGTCCCGGCGTCAAACAGCGAGGCTGTGCCCCCTCAAACAGGGAGGCTGTGCCAGCGTCAAACAGCGAGGCTGTGCCACCCTCAACAGGGGAGGCTGTGCCAGCGTAAAACAGCGAGGCTGTGCCACCCTAAAACAGCGAGGCTGTGCCAGCGTCAAACAGCGAGGCTGTGCCAGCGTCAAACAGCGAGGCTGTGCCAGCGTCAAACAGCGAGGCTGTGCCACCCTCAAACAGCGAGGCTGTGCCACCCTCAACAGCGGGGCTTGCCACGTCAAACAGCGAGGCTGTGCCAGCGTCAAACAGCGAGGCTTGCCACCCTCAAACAGCGAGGCTTTGCCAGCGTCAAACAGCGAGGCTGTGCCAGCGTCAAACAGCGAGGCTGTGCCAGCGTCAAACAGCGAGGCTGTGCCAGCGTCAAACAGCGAGGCTGTGCCACCCTCAAACAGCGAGGCTGTGCCACCCTAAAACCCAGCGAGGCTTTGCCAGCGTAAAAATTCCAAACAGCGAGGCTGGCCAGCCTCACACAGCGAGGCTTTGCCAGCGTAAAACAGGGAGGCTGGCCACCCTCAAACAGCGAGGCTGTGCCAGCGTAAAACAGGAGGCTGTGCCAGCGTCAAACAGCGAGGCTGTGCCAGCGTCAAACAGCGAGGCTGTGCCAGCGTCAAACAGCGAGGCTGTGCCAGCGTCAAACAGCGAGGCTGTGCCAGCGTCAAACAGCGAGGCTGTGCCACCCTTTACACAGCGAGGCTGTGCCAGCGTCAAACAGCGAGGCTGTGCCAGCCTCACACAGCGAGGCTGTGCCAGCGTCAAACAGCGAGGCTGTGCCAGCGTCAAACAGCGAGGCTGTGCCACCCTCAAACAGCGAGGCTGTGCCGGCGTCAAACAGCGGGGCCTGTGCCAGCTCAAACAGCGAGGCTGTGCCGGGGTCAAACAGCGAGGCTGTGCCAGCGTCAAACAGCGAGGCTGTGCCAGCCTCACACAGCGAGGCTGTGCCAGCGTCAAACAGCGAGGCTGTGCCAGCCTCACACAGCGAGGCTGTGCCAGCGTCAAACAGCTAGGCTGTGCCAGCGTCAAACAGCGAGGCTGTGCCAGCGTCAAACAGCGAGGCTGTGCCAGCGTCAAACAGCGAGGCTGTGCCAGCGTCAGATCTGTGAGGAGCCCGTTAGGTTAGGACTGGTTGGACCATTATGTTTGATTATAATATCTGTCGAGAGTAGGGTAACATCCGTCGCGAGTAGAGTAAGATCTTTCCCGAGCCCGTTAGGTTTGGTTAGGATTGGTTGGACAGTTTAGATTTAGAATATTAAGTAGCCTTCCGTCGATGCAAGGAAAACCCAACCCAACCAACCCGACAACGGCATCTGCCCTATGACGTCTGCCATTTGGGGGAGTACATTATCCCTAGGGACCAAGTACTCCCCTGCTGGTGGGGGAGTACACCATCCCTAGGGCCAATGTACTCCCCCCCTCAAGAGAGGGGGAGTACCTTCACTCTAGGGATAGTGTACTCCCGGGGGAGTACACCATCCCTAGGGTCAATGTACTCCCCCTCTCTCGAGGTAGGGGAGTACACTATCCCCAGGGATGGTGTACTCTCCCTAAGGGGGGAGTACATTGTCCCTAGGGATGGTGTACTGGGGAGTAACTCAATCCGGGGAGTAGGATATCCCGCTTACACCGGCCACAGCGCCTGGCCAGGCTAGGGTAGGCACGCCCGCAACGCATGCCTGTGCCCGTGCTGCCTACTCCCGGCGGGCCACAGCGCGGCAGTAGGGTAGGCACGCCCGCAAGCATGCCTGCCGTGCTACCTCCCAGGCGGCCGGCCACAGCGCCTGGCCAGGCTAGGGTAGGCACGCCCGCAACGCATGCCTGTGCCCGTGCTGCCTACCTCCCAGGCGGCCGGCCACAGCGCCTGGCCAGGCTAGGGTAGGCACGCCCGCAACGCATGCCTGTGCCCGTGCTGCCTACCTCCCAGGCGCTTCCATGCGCAGGGCCTGCTTGGCGGCAACGGCCGCTACCGGCGTGTGTCCGCCGGCATCGGGGCGGGCCGGCGTTCCCCCTTTGTACTGAGCATCCGGAAATACTCCGCACGCTCCAGCGGGGAGTATCGACGTGTGCGCGGCGGGAGTATCTGCCGCCTGCGGTGCGGGCGGTGCGGGCCGCGGGCAGGGGGCGGCGGGCACCTCGTGGCGCCTTGTGGCCTCGGACTTAACGGGGCGCGTAAGGAAGAAACGCACACCGGAAGTGCCGAGTCAGTGTCGGGCCCAAGACATGACCCGGGAGGGGTTAGGCCGGGGGCAACCGCATGGACAAACACGCCAGCGAAGCCCCACGGCCCCACGGCGAGGCGCCGCGCCGAGACGCCTCGCGACTCTAGGGGCGCGGCGACGACGCCGCCACGCGGGGCGTGCATGTGGGGGGGATGATGATGCAACGCCGTCAAGTGCGAAGAGAAGGAGGGCCTCTCCTTGGCTGGTTTACGCCCCGGGCCGTGGTGGATCTCGATATCACGCCGCCTGCCATCCCCTCCCCAGCGCTGCCGCCCTGCCGGTTCGAGGCTTCGAGGACGCAGCTGACGGTTCCCAGTGGTTCCTTCCCTAACGAGCCACAACAAAGCCGCCTCGCCACGCCGCGCCACGCCACGCCACGCCGCGCACAATGGGCACTTGGCCGCATCAAACCATCAAACCGCCGTGATAACGATACTTAGCGCATCAGCGCCCCGCCGCAGCCTTGCCTCCAGCCTGGAGCGCTGGAGCAGCTGGAGCGGGGCGGGGTAAGCCGCACGGCGATGACGGCAAGGATGGGACTGCGCCGCGTGTGAACCAAGGGGTAGTACACGCATTTTCGGTTTCCGCCTTTTATTTTATCTCTTTTTCCGAGCGAGCGTGGAGCACGGCGGGAGATGCAAGGAGGCGGCCAAGGCATAAGGATTCAACTGCACGCAAAGCCCAAGCACACAGAGGACCGAGGAGGGCACGCTCAAACTAAGTGCGGTCAAGGCACTGAACGCAGTGGCCGCCCAAAAGCAGCAAATATTTTGTCAACCTTTTTAATGGGGTAGCTCCTTAACTGAGTGTGGTCAAGGCATTTTCGAGGCGGTGCATGAAAAAGAGTTCGGTCCTAAGAGTACCAGGCCCTTGTGAGAGGGCTTTGGCCACAGCCATATTGGACGCAAAGGCCTTTCAAGAGTAGCAATTGGATTTTCCTGTATTTTGACTACTTTGTGAGGATGCCGTGAGTCACGTCATTAGCTGCTGCTCCATCTCTACCGGCAGATTGCTGTGTTTTGTCACCCTCCTATTCTCGCCGTCGTCGGTGTGGACACTTGACTCGATTTGAATTAGTTTGGACCACAAATGATCCTCTGCTTTTCGGGTCCGCACAAGCCACCGCCTGCTAAAGGGCCACTAGCCGCCCCGCCCCGCCCCACCCCGCTGGGCCGCAATATCCATTTCCACAGCCGGGGCTCAGGGCTGAGACCGGGTGCTGATCCTCTTAGCGGCGCCTCGTCCCGCGTCGGCCGCGTCCCGTGGTGTCGCTATTGGCGCCCCGACTCTGTGGCTGTGGCCGGGAGCCTGCGCGACGCTGCGCCAGGCTGCGCCGCCCCGGCCACCCCGGACGCCCCTCCCCCTCGCGCCACCGGCTGCCATTGGCTCGCTGCGGCACGCCGCGCCACGCCGCACGCACGCACGCCGCCCCGGCCTCCCCGCGGCACGCCTAGCCACGCCTAGCCACGCCCCCGGCCGCAGACGTCGCGACGCTGCAGGACGACGTGCAGTGCATCCCTGGGCTGGCATGGCGGCATGACGACGGCGCCCAGCCCGGCCCTCACGCCGCCGGCGGACGAAATGGCGGAGCCGTGCCCGAGGCCGTGCCTCACCCCAAACGCCCCGAGGCACACGCCGTCCTCGCCCAGGGAGTTCTTCGCGCGCCTCTACGGCCACCTGGAGGACAACGCCAAGACGCCCCCGCCGACGCCGTCGCCCTCAGTGGTCGCGGCATCCGCCGACGTCCGCGAAGAGACCCCCACACCCGCGTTCGGCCTGGGTGCCGTGGGTGCCGTAGGTGCCGCCGAGGACCTCCGGAAACCAATCGCGATCCGGGGCTACCGGCACGGCGGCTTCCTGTCCGCGCCTGTCGTCGGGGTGGTCGGCCCGCGGGGGCTCCCCGCCGCTCCCTTCGCGCCGACCGCCTCCACGGAGTCCCCACTGGTGGCCGCCTCCGCTACGCTGAGTCCTCTGCCCCCTCTGGCCACGGGGGCGCACTTCCCCGCCTCCTTCTCGGCATTCCGTAAGTAGCTTTGTCTCAAGTCGTCGCACAAATGTCGTCAACTATCCAGGATTTCAATGAGTGACGTTATATCCGTTCGAATGTGAGGAGTGTCACGTTCATGCGAATTCACATTTGTTATGGAATGTGGATCGGCACGTTCGAACAAATGTGACGATCGTATCACGCCCAAACGAATGTGACATCGTATGCAAGCGAACAAGAGTTACATTCTTTAAACAATACTTGAACACTGCTTAAGATTTTTAGGACCAGTAACAGTGCAGGCGCGTCGGCTTCAGTCCCTCGAGTCCTGGGTTCGACTCCCGACAATTCTTTGCACTTTTTCACAGCCCCTCTCAGAGCGCTTCAAACTCGTCCCACGATCTATTCGCAGCATTTCCCAACTTTTTTCGACTGGTTCCCTGCCTTGCTCCCTGCATGCCAGGCTGGCAGTGGTTAAGTTAATTTTGTTGGGGTGCTGTCGAGGTTATTGAGCCAAGCGAACCATGCCGGAAGGCTTGTGTGTAGTGTGTGTCTCTCGGACCACTTAATTGAAATGCCATTGTGGCTACATTAACCAAGGGGTAACCAACTCAAGATTTTCATGTACACTGATTATATTTAGAGTATGATTACATGTGATTTCTTATGATTATAGGAGGTTATTATGTTGATTATTGGGAAATATTAGGGATTATTTGAGCGCCGACCTCGGAAAGCTGTTAAAGTGTCGGAAATTCAATATAGGTGACTTTGGGCAGCCACTGCATCCAGTTTAGTTGCGGTCAAAGGCCTCCCTCGACGCCTTACTATTTTGAAGGCCCTACTCTTTCATGCCCCGCCTCGGGAAGGCTTTGACCGCTAATAGTTTGGGAGCAGTGGTCTCACAAAAATGGTCAAAAAGTGAATGAATTTCAGGAAATCACCGTTTTTGCTGACTTTGAGCGGTCACTGCATCCAATTTAGTTGCGGTCAAAGGCCTCCCTCGACGCCTTACTATTCTGAAGACCCTACTCTTTCATGCCCCGCCTCGGGAAGGCTTTGACCGCTGATAGTTTGGGAGCAGTGGCCTCGCAAAAATGGTCAAAAAGTGAATGAATTTCAGAAAATCACCGTTTTCGCTGACTTTGAGCGGTCACTGCATCCAATTTAGTTGCGGTCAAAGGCCTCCCTCGATGCCTTACTATTCTGAAGACCCTACTCTTTTATGCCCCGCCTCGGGAAGGCTTTGACCGCTGATAGTTTGGGAGCAGTGGTCTCGCAAAAATGAATCCCCGAAAGTATGATTGTCATTTCACTGGATGATGTTGATTATTTCACTTGTTACCAACTAGACGTGCAATGATTATCTTGAGTTGGGTACCCCTTGACATTAACATCTTGAGGATTCACAGTGATCGTTTCCTCATACGACCGCTTGTGTTCGGAGGGCTGTTTCAGTATTTTCGTTTTGAACCATTGCGTTCAACTATTGAAAAGAAAATCAGAATGAGTTAGTGGTACCTTGGGACTGTGGGGCCCTCGCCCAGCCGCGGTCGTGTGATGTTATTGTAACGTTATTTCTTCGGTCTGTCACTCTCGATCTCACACGGAACGCCCGGTCCGGGTCCATGAGTGCGAGAGAGAGCGGGAGACCCGCTCGGAAATCAGTCAGCTGGTCTGGCCGGACCCGGCCCCGGCAACTAACTGTGAATAATCGCATAATTAGGGTCGGGCTGCTTGCTGCCTAATGGAGCGGGGGCAATGACAACACGGATCGCCAAATAATTAATAGCCGCAGATGGTTATTGGTGTCGTGTCCGTCGTGGCATCGCGTAGTCGCGTCCGACCGAACTCGTCCGCGCGGCGTGGGAGCGGCGCATCTGGCCTGCCGGCCTGCCGGCCTGCCTGCCTGCCGGCCTGCCTGCCTGCCGGCCTGCCTGCCTGCCTGCCTGCCTGCCTGCCTGCCTGCCTGCCGCCTGCCGCCTGCCGGCCTGCCGGCCTGCCTGCCTGCCTGCCCGCCTGCCTGCCTGCCGGCCTGCCGGCCTGCCTGCCTGCCTGCCCGCCTGCCTGCCTGCCGGCCGGCCTATGCCTCCCCGGCCGGTCCACCCCCGCCGTTCAAGTCCCCCGTCTGGATGCGACCCGTTGCCCGTTGACACCGCTAACAAGTCGCAAGATGGGGATGCTGCTAAACGCTGTGGGTGGCAGCTGTCCCGTGGTGCGAGGCTGCAAGCTCGGACTCGTAACGGCGGAGAGGCGGGAAGGCAGGATGAACGGGCGTTGGGCGTGCCGTGCTTACACATCGCGCCAGCACGGCAGGCCACGCACGGCAGGCACAGCCACGGCGCCAGCGGGCCGGGCGTTTTGTCACGGAGATTACTGAGAGGGACAACGCAGCGACAACGGAGCGACAACAGCGGCGACGAGACAAAATGAAAATGCCACGCCCGAACGGCTGCGGGCAAATCGCGTTACGCCCCCACCCCCCGCCGCCACCCCGCCCCCTTCTCTCGCGGATGCCGCCGCCCAAGTACCCTCGCCTACCCCCCACCCCTTTCCCTGCCGAAGTTGGGTCCTCTCACACGCCTCATATCACAGCCAGACGGCAGGACCGCAACAAAGGCCGGCTTTGCTCTGCCTCCTCCCCCTCCCCAGCCACTCTGCTTGCTGCTTGGTGCTGCTTGGCGCCGGGGGTGTTTGCCACACATTGCCGAGCGCGGATGAGGTTTTTGAAACTGTTCCCAGCGGCCCTCTGAAAAAGAGTGCCAATTTCGGGCGCGAACCTGCGCTACCCCCGGCAGACGGTGTGCTGACGGCGTGCTCCTTGTTGTTCCAGTGGCCCGGCGGCGGCGCAAAGAGGGTCGCGGCCCGCGGCGGCAGCGGACCACATTCAGCGCGCACCAGACACTGCGCCTGGAGCTCCAGTTCGCGCGCTCCGAGTACGTGTCGCGCGCGCGGCGCACCGAGCTGGCGCACGCCCTCAGCCTCAGCGAGACGCAGATCAAGATCTGGTTCCAGAACAGGCGCGCCAAGGACAAGCGCATCGAGAAGGCACACCAGGACCAGCACTACCGGTCAGTCGCCATCTCGTTCTTGTGGCATTCATGACATAATTTGCGCGTGCGCGTGCGTGCGTGTGCGCGTGCCGTTCGGGGTCATGGGGGTGTACCTGGCTGGCCGGAACGGCACGGCGCGGTGCTGCGCGCGGAGCGGCGCGGTGCGGCGACCCTCTGATAAGCAATCAGAGGGTCAGATAGCAATCAGAACCAGCGCCGGCCGCGGCTCACGTGGCTTCCCGCCTGATCAACCTCGCCTTATTCTTTTCTCCGCGCCACCCCCTCACCCCGCCTCGCCCTGGCCGCCAGTGATTGAGAGAACGCCAATACATTTCAATGCGCGCTCTCCGTGATTCTCCTCCGTTTTTATTGTTTGTTTTTTTCGCGTCTTCTTGGACTGATGAACCCCGCGGCCGCGGTTTGCGTCCCTTTAATCAGAACGCCGGCCTCGGCGGTGAGCAGCAGCAGGGCCGGACGACGAGTCCGCGCTCCGTCGCTCTGTCTCCCTCGCACTGCACTGCGCTGCGGTGACGTGATTTGACGAGACGTGAGATGCGGCGCGCCGCGGCGTCGGGGGTGGAGTCCGAGCCGAGAGCACCTCGCTCGCTGGGTGGACTGCGCCGCTTGCGTTCGGCTGCGGCTCGGTTGGGTTCGGGTGCAGTCGGGCGTGCTCGCCGCGCCTCGCCGTGCCTAGCAGTGCCGTGCCACTCGCTCACCGGCTCATTTAATAATGAGGATGAGGACAGGGGTCGCGCGGACTTAGCGCGTTATCGCCGCCCGCATCGCCGCGGCGACAACAAACTCGCGCATGGCTTCGCCGGGAGGGAGAGCCGTCCGGGGGAGGAAATCTGTTGCGACAGCCGTCATCAGGCCGTCATACGGACGGAGAGAGCACGCGGTATTTCTGGGCACCCGGCACTATTGTAGCGCTGCGAACTGCAAGCAGTATGAAAACTACGTCTCCGGAAGCAAGTGAGTCCGTGCTGTTCATATCCGTTTCGCTGGGATTTCGACTTTTCTCCAATTGGCGCCAAAGCAGACCGGGCTTGGCCTAAAGCCTGGCGCACTTCATCAGGCGCTGCACTGGATCCGCTTTCAATCCGTGCCGCCCCGGCTCGGCTGGCGCGGCTGGCTGGGCCTGCCGGCTGGTTCCGGTCCCGGCCGGGCTTCTGTTCCGGCCAATCAGAAGCCTGGCAAGGGGTGCGCATGGCGGGGCGCGGCGGCGCGGCAGGATCGCCTTACACAGGGGCGGTAGATCCGCTTCGCCGCCCTGCAGGCCATGCCATGCCGGGCCATGCCCTCTGCCGGACACGGCCGGACATTGCGTTCGAGGACGCTGCCGGACGCGAGGCCCTGGAGGCCCTGGAGGCCCTGGAGGCCCTGGAGGCCCTGGAGGCCCTGGAGGCCCTGGACGCGGCCGGCGTGCGTGTGCGCCCGAGCCGCGATAGTGCATCGAGCAGCAGAGCAGCCCGGCAGGCCACCACCTAACCATAAACATGAGAAATGACAGGAGAATTAGCCTCGCTTCCGCTTTAATTTGCTTGACTACCCTCTCCCCCTCCCCTCTGCGCCACCCCGCGCCCCGCAAGCACCCCATCATCAACCACTCGTTTCCTTTTCATTGCGCGGCTAGTGAGTGGGGGAGGGGGTGGATTACGCACTCGGTGATCAAGTGTTAATACAGTCCAATCCGCGTGTTTACGGCACGGTCCATCGGCCACCTCATGCCGCCGGCCCCTGTTCGCAGCGTCTTCTTCGCCCTCTTCCCCTTCCCCTCCCCCTCCCTGCTCGCGTGCCTCGCGAAGTAATCACGCCGGCCATCCTCTAAACGCAACAACGTGTAAATGGCCATAGTGGCAACGGGCAGCGCCGCCAGGGCAGCCGGGCCTCCTGGCAGTGCTATGTAGCGCTCGGAGGATGAGCGGCAAACACGAAGGGACACCTGTCGCGCTCCCAGGCCTTGCCCAGGCCATGCCCGCGGAGGCCGGGTAAAGTGGAGGTCCTTCAGTCCTTCCTCTTCCGGTGCACTGGTGTACGTTGCACTCATGGAGAACGTCGTTAGGACAAACGAGCTACGGCACCTGGTTGAAAGTGCGTTGACGTTGCCCTCCTTGTCCTGCAGCATGGCGCTGGCCTCGGGGCTGGTGCCCGGCTTCCCATCGTCGTCCGCCTTCTGCACGCTGTGCCTGTACAAGGACGGCTCGCACCACCAGCACCACGGCCCCGGCCACAGCCCTGCCGACCTCCACCACGGCGCCCCGGCCAGCCCGGACAGCCCCGAGGACCCCGACAGCCCGGACAGCCCCGCCAGCTCTGCCGGCTCCCCCGCCACGCCAAGGATGCCGTCCTCGAGGCCGCCGCCTTCGCCGTGAGGACAGCGCCCTCTCAGAGCCCGTTTCTACTGTTCTAGTCATACTTCTAGTTACCACCGCATCCCTGTCCCGGCGAGCCTTTTATATTTACTGTTTTCGTCTCTCGTTTTGAGCGTGTAAAATATTATTGTAATAGTGATAGTGCACTGACATTATGTTTACGAGCGTTAAGTAAAACAATAGTCTTTGTTCTTCTTGATTTTTTTTCTCTCCCTGCTATTGATTTATGTCACTTCGAAGCTGATCCAAGCGCGTAAATTTAAGCATGTGCACACACACTCGTACACACACGAGCGCGCGCGCGCGAATGAGGGAGAAAGGCGCACCCTCCCCACCCCACTGTGCAAATCCTCGGTGGAGGATAAAGAAGATAAAGGTTTGGAGCGGGCCGCGCCGCCCTGCGGTGGCGTGCAGGCGTTGTTGACTTTGGACGTCTCGTGCGAGTAACGAGTTAACGAGACGAGAGCGACGGGGGACGGGGCGCTCTCCAGGCGCGACTAGGGCGCGCGGCGCACGGCCAGGGTGCCGTCAGTGGCCACTGGTCGCGCGTCGGCGTCACCGCGCACGTCGCCATGGTGTCGGAAGCGTGGCGACGGCCCAGCAAGGCGGCGGTGCAGGCGGAGAGTCCTCAGCGTGGCGTCGGCGACCCCGTCAAGGGTCCAGCCACGGTGGGGCCGGCCGAGGCGGAGACTCTGTTCCAGGAGCTGGCCCCTCTCCGCAGCACCATGTTCCTGCTGGCGCTGTGGCCCATCTACAGCGACTCCAAAGGTAGGCCGAGTCGTCCCGAGTCCCGCCCAGCACCCACGTCCTCGACGGCCCACTTCTGCGACCCTGGAAACCCAACCCGTTCCTATTCGCAGGCCGCGCCAAGGCGTCCGCGGTCTCGCAGTCCTCGTGCTACACCGTGCTGGTGTACGCCCTGTGGTCCGTGCTCAGCGTGCGCGCGTTGGGCGAACGCTGGAGCGCCTTCGCGTCCGGGGCTGCCGCCGAAGGCGCAGTGGAGGCCTCCACCCTCAACCACCGCATCTACCACCTCATCCTGATCGTCCTGCTGACGCACCACTGGGTCATCCCCGTCTGCATCTGGCCCGAGGCCCGAGCCCTTGCCAAGTACCTCAACGCCTGGACCAGCTTCCAGGTAGGGCGTAGAGCTGACCGAGTCCAGAGTCCTGGGGGCGTGGCGTACAGTTGTGCCGATCTTTGAGTCATGGTGCTGGCTGCTGGCGCTGTCAGGCCGAGTGGTGCAGGCTGACGGGTCGGCCCCTCGTGCTGGGGCTTCGCCGGCGGGCAGTGGCCTACACCGCGGTGGGGCTGCTGCTGCCGCTACCACTGGTGCTGCTCATGGTGCGGGTGGGGATGCCGATCCTGCACGCCGTTGCCTTCTTCCCGCCCTTGAGCTTCTTCTCCCTCGTCGGCGGCGTCTGGACCACCCTCTGCAGGGCCGTGGAGCACTCGGCCAGCTCCCTGCGCCAGCTCCACAGCGAGGTGAGCGACGGCACTGCCAGGGCCGCCTAGGCCGCAGTGACGCGCCGGTCGCGGGGAATTACCTTGACGTGTGTACGTGTGCAGGACAGGGACCGCGGCCTGGGCCTTCTTGACGTGCGTGCGCACGGCATGCTCTGGCTGCACCTGCGCGCCCTCGCCTCCCAGACGGGCGCGGCGCAGTCCAGCACGCTTGTGGTGTACACGGTGTACTCCATGGCACTGGGCCTGGTGGCGGCAATGGGCGTGCTCATCGCGCTCACGCATGCCGACTTGAGCCTCGGCAACGTGATGCAGGCCCTATTTATGGTGCAGAACCTTCACCACATCTACACCGTTCACGAGCACGGCCACCGCGCCGCTCACAGCGTGAGTACCCCACCCCCTGCCGAAACTCCCCCTCCCTTTTTTTGCACTCCTTTTGAATGAATTTGGAGGGCGGAGCAAGCGGATTTTGTTTCAGGCTAGCAAGGCTTTGCAGTTTGAGATGTTGAGCATGAAGCCACCGTTGAAGGAGAAGGATTTGATGAATGCAGAGGTACAGTAGTAAACTTGGCTGATGTGCAATTTGTAAAATGACCCAACAAAAAATGTCTTTGAGCTGGTTTTGATAATTTAAGGCCATTTATGATGAAATAAAGTTAATTTTTGAGTAGTGTCTCTGACTTTAGAACATATTATGTTGCTGATTTTTTTTACAATTATACTTATTTTAGGTTCGCACCTTACTGATTGCAACAGCAGCGCACAGTGAACATGATATTGCTACAATAAGTGTGGGGGGCTTTGCTGCTTGTTCGCGTTCCAGCATAATTGAGGTGTGTAACCAGAATAAACTATCTCTTTCTTACCGCCCACAATATAAATTGTTTGAGTTCTTTTCCTACAGGTGTACAACATGCTGCTATTAAATCTTCTTGTTCTTTTGCAATTTGCTTATTTTGCTTACTGAAAAGGTAATAAAGAACACAAACAAAATTGTCTTGACATCTAAATTATTTTAATAGAAATAAAGACAGGGAAGATATTAAGATAAAAAAAATAAAAAGACATTCTTCAACAGGTACTTATAAGCGCCCATCCAGGGTAATCAATGGGAAGTACAACTAATCATGAAACAACGATAGCAAGGCAACAATTTTTTCTTATAATGCGAAAGAAGACTAGTTAACATTTTTGAGCGCTTCAGATAAATCTGTATTATAGACATATATCATTTTCCTGGTAAATGTACTAACACTAGTGAGACAAATAGTAAAAAAACTTTTAGTTGAAAGAGCTTCAGATAGAAGTTCTATGGTTCTTACGCGACATTCATTACTGCTCTGGTATTGTGCCTGAGAACAACCTGCAGGAAAATTAAAATAAAAGTGAAAAAAGAAATGAGACCTTCTTTTAATTTTACGTTGGGGCATGATGGTAAAAAAGTGATATCACACTAACCCAGAAATTTAGCAGCATTTTCTCGGATGACATAAACACTTAGTGGCTTACCCCAAGCATCCTCTAAGGTAAGCTTCAGCCTGAATGCTATGTGAATTCTGGGAGGTGGGGCACCTTAAAGGCAAAGAGAAAACATATGAATGAGAACCATTTTTGGTGGCAAAAGTCAGGCAAGAAAAATAAGCTTACCATCCCCATCACAAATAGGACATAATGGAATTTTAGTAGAAGTAGCTTTATTTATCTTCCAGCAAAGTTTAGAATAATAAGAATAGGTTCCACACGTTTCACATACTCCAGAAAGCAAATTTTTTGGACCATTAGTCTTAAGCACTGAAACACCAACAGGCAGTGAAGCGCAGCATGTAGATAAGGCGAATGCATAGTAATGCTTGATGCATAACTCAGAGGCAAGAATCAAAACAGTTATTACCTTCAAGCTTTGGTTTAACTCTTATAATCCTGACCTTTGATGAATAACAAGGCCACTTAAAATTTGTCATAGAATTTACATCAATGTAAACTTTATTTTCCTGAACTAGAAGAGGTAAAAAAAAGGGCTTGGTAGTTAGTTAAAAACAGATCTTAAACTTTCTTAGCTTGATGCATACCTTTAAAGTCCATAAAATTGGGATTCCTAAGAAAAATGTTGCCCTCATCATCTGCGGCAGGTATCTCTGCCCCATAGTTACAAGAGGGCTAGACACACACAAAAGAACAGAGATTATCTCTGAAAAGAAACGTGTTTACAACCAGACAAAAAAGTTACCCAGTATCAAGCTATACTTACTTTTTGGAACTCAATAGAATCAGATTCTATCAAGAGTGGTGATTGACCACAGTTTTCTTCAGCACAGATAATACCAGGACATGAACTGCTTCCTGCTAGCATTGAGCTAGAAAAATCATCACTTTGTACAGTACTGTCTAAACTGTTAATGTTTCTAGAGAGAACCCCTCTAGTCTCTTCCTGGGCCACAATAGCTTCAGGAGCGAGTTTACCAATTTCTGAATTCTTGATTGAAGAAGGTACTTCCTCAACATACTTTCTTTTCTTGGATAATGGGCTGGGTTGGTATTCCTGTCTTTTTTCAGTTGAGCTTGCCTGTTTTTTAGCAATATTTACAGTAGATTCAGCTTCCTCATTGAGAGACCTTAATTCTGAACTGCTTCGCTTTCTCGAAGGACCAGCTTCAGTTTCATTCTCCTTCAGGTTGTGATCATAAAACGGATTCTTTACTAAGTCTTTTTTCATGGAAGAACCAGCTGCAGGATTAAGAAATACTTTTCTGGAGCTGGTTACAATATCTGCTTGACTTATTGATGGACGTGTCGAAATGTTTGGTTCTTCATTTGTGGAAGTAAAGGCACCATTCATAGAAGTATCTGTACCATTTGTTGGTATCATTTCAGAGCTGTCAAACAATCTTCTGAGAAGGGAAATTTCTCTTAGCTCTGAAATACGTTCCTTTGCTTTATCTGGAATTGGTATTGAATTAACAGAATGCAGTAAAAAAGTAAACATTGGCTTGGATTCATTTTGTAATTACCAGTCAAAGTGATATTTTTGGCCGAGGAGGTAAAATTAAACTCAGGGTCATGATCTTTTGTAAAACCCACAACATCAAACGCGTTAAAAACACGTCCATCAAAACCTCCTATCCATGTTTCTATCTGAAATGAGAACTTTTTGAAAAGGCTTGCAGTTCATTCATTCAAGTACAGTTTCTGTAATGATGCATAAGCAGAAAGAGAAAGTAGCATCCGTATGTTTTCTTCCGAAATATATATATCAGTACCTTTACTCGGTGAAAGCGCAGTATGTCACCGACACAAAACTTGGGTACCTGATCTCCACGGGCAAAACAATTCATACGAAAGAGCTTATCAGGTGGTAGGCTATCATCATATATGTGGTAAATAGAATGGAGTGAACCTGTTGAAGTAGGAACAGAGTCCTGTGGAAAAAGAAGGTGATAAAACCGGTTAGATACAATTCCTAATAAAAAAAATATTAAAAATCAAAATTTTAAAAATTGAACTTACCTTGATAACCTCTACTAATATCCCAAATACATTAAACTCATAACCCGGTTCAACATCATTGAGCTTTGTGTACTGGTACTCTTCCCTAACCTTTTTAGGACGCATTTTATTAGAACGCGTTTAATGCATGTATCCTTTATTTACCCTCTCAAAATCAACAAGTTTCAAAGACAGTGTTTTGGTTTTTGATAACGCGCGGCGTCGCTTGGTCGCTGGCAGTTGTTCTTCTTCCCGTTGTGCCCGTCCGACATCCAAATCTAGGTGGCCGTGATCGGATGCGCTCAGTGACGTAAGTTCCAAAAATAACTTGCGATGCTGATGCTATGTGTGGCGGAGTCTTGAATGATTGAGCAGTGTAAAATTTATCCACATCGAAAGAGTGCTTAAAATTTACCGGAAGAGGTTCGTTGTGACAGCAGTTTAAGTTTCAAGTGAGGCGTGGCATTGAGAGCACAGCCCGTAGACAATTAGGTCACAAATACCATTAAGTTTTCTGCTGCGGAAGCTTGCCACTGACATGGAGGTTGCTGCTTGCGGCAGACGAGCTTCTGCCACACCCTCGAATTTCCGTACAGCGGTGCACGCCCATTTCGCGTCTACCGGCTTTGGTAGAATTTATTTGCTACTGAGCTTTAGTGACTCCCCTATCTTTTGTTCCGCCTCTCGGGTATCCAGGGTCGTAAGCTGCTGGAAAAGTGGGCTAGGTTATTATTGATTACTTTGCGGACGCCCTAGGTTTGTGTATGCCGCGCCCGTCCCGTTAGGCATTTAACTTTGCGGTGACACCCGAAAGCACCACATCGTTCCTAGCCAGTGTTGCCTTTCTCATATTCATGTAAAAACCAAAAGTTTTTAGTTTAATAGCATTGTTGTTATGTTATAATACAAATTATTTTGGTCTGCAGTTGGGTGTAGAAGGTGCAGCCATGGAGCAAATAAACGCTCCCAAGGAGGTGAAAATCCTTGAGAGTGCTGACGATATCCAGGAACGACGAGAACAAGTACTTACGTGGTATGGAGAGTTCAAAGCTGAGGCTCGTTCCAAACGAGTGAAACTTGAGGACTCCAGAAGATTCCAGGTAGGTTGTCTCACTAGTGTTATTATTTGTGAGATAATTCCTGCTGTTGACGTTTTGGATAGATCATAGTGCTAATGTTCTCTCTCAAATGTTCTCTTTTGATTTTCAGTATTTTAAACGAGATGCTGATGAACTGGAGCTCTGGATCAATGAGAAGCTTCAAGCTGCTTCTGATGAAAGCTACAAAGATCCTACTAATCTTCAGGTATAATATGAGACTTCAAACTCTTTAAATAATTTTGAGGCACAGGTTTGTGGCTGGTTTGTAACTCATAAAATATTCTATTTTAGGCTAAGATTCAAAAACATCAGGCATTTGAAGCTGAAGTAGCAGCACACAGTAATGCTATCGTTGTTTTGGATAATACTGGAATGGAAATGATAAACCAAGAACACTTTGAATCTGCAGTTATTGGGAAGAGGCTTGGTAAGTACAAAGCATACTTGAAAAATTGTTCAAAAATTGTGAATGAATCTCTACTACCTATTCAAAGTTTTACAACCCCACTGAAATTAAATATTGTTATATTCTGACCACTCCATTTTTGCTGCTGTGCAGATGAACTTCACCGTCTTTGGGAGCTGCTTCTCTCTAAACTTGCTGAAAAGGGAATGAAATTGCAGCAAGCTCTTGTTTTGGTTCAGTTTATACGTCAGTGTGATGAAGTCATGTTCTGGATCAATGACAAGGTAACTGTTTTTTAATATTATGAAGCCTTTCCTGTCACTTTATAAAATTATCTATTACTAATTTTTATAAATGCTTTTTTTTTTTTTTTTCAAATTTTAGGAAACTTTTGTTACTACTGATGAGTTTGGTCATGATCTGGAGCATGTTGAAGTTCTCCAACGCAAATTTGATGAGTTCCAAAAGGACATGGCCTCCCAGGAATATCGTGTAACAGAAGTTAATGAACTTGCTGACAAACTTGTCACTGATGGACACCCAGAAAAAGAGACTATTACTCAAAGGAAGGAAGAGCTAAATGAAAAGTGGGCCCACTTGAAGCAGCTGGCTCTAATGAGACAGGAGAAGCTTTTTGGTGCTCATGAAATTCAACGATTTAACCGTGATGCAGATGAGACTGTAGCATGGATCGCTGAAAAGGTAGTTTTTTTTTTTTTAAATTCCTACCACTTAGTTTCTTTTATTTTGTTTTTGGTCCTTTTATAAATAATAAATTCCTTTTTTATTGATTGTTTTAGGATGTTGTTTTATCCTCTGATGACTATGGGCGAGATCTTGCAAGTGTCCAAACCCTGCAACGTAAGCACGAAGGAGTGGAGCGTGATCTAGCTGCCCTTGAAGACAAAGTCTCTACGCTTGGTCAGGAAGCTGAGCGTCTCTGTGGTATCCATGCTCACCACTCTGAGCAAATCAAGGCGAAACGAGCAGAAATTGAGGAATATTGGGAAAAGCTTACTGCCAAAGCCAAGGAGCGTCGCTCAAAATTGGATGAGTCTTACCATTTGCACCGCTTCATGGCTGACTTCCGTGATCTCATTTCATGGATCAATGGAATGAAAACCATCATTTATGCTGATGAGCTGGCCAAAGATGTTGCAGGTGCTGAGGCACTATTGGAGAGACATCAGGAACATAAGGTAAGATTGTTTGATTGATTTGGTGATTCATTCTATTGGTTCATCACTTATCAATATTTCTCATTCAGGGTGAAATCGATGCTCGTGAAGACAGCTTCAAGGTTACTGCCGAAGCAGGACAACAGTTGTTGAGCCGCAAACATTATGCTGCAGAGGATGTTGACAATAAACTGCACCAGTTGTCTGATGAGAAGACATCTTTGCTGCAACTTTGGGAAGAAAGACGTATTCTCTATGAACAGTGCATGGACTTGCAGTTGTTTTATCGTGACACAGAGCAGGCTGATACATGGATGGCAAAGCAAGAAGCATTTCTGTCTAATGATGATCTTGGAGATTCCCTTGATTCTGTTGAGGCCTTAATCAAAAAGCATGAAGACTTTGAGAAGTCCCTTGCTGCCCAAGAGGAGAAAATTAAAGCTCTTGATGATTTTGCGACTAAGCTGATAGAAGGACAGCACTATGCAGCTGATGATGTTGCTCAGCGTCGAGCTATGCTGCTGGAACGCCGTGCAGCCCTTCTAGACAGATCCTCTCGACGTGCTGCAACTCTGCATGATGCCTATCGTTTGCAGCAATTTGAAAGAGATTGTGATGAAACTAAGGGTTGGATTAACGAGAAGCTGAAGTTTGCAACCGATGACAGTTATCTTGATCCAACCAATCTCAATGGAAAGATGCAGAAGCATCAAAACTTTGAACAGGAGTTGAATGCTAACAAGTCTCGGATGGATGAAATTACATCTACAGGTCAAGAGCTCATTGAGGACAATCATTATGCTGCTGATCGAATCCAGTCTCGCATGGACGAAATTGTGGAACTTTGGGAGACCCTGAACCGTGCCACTGAGAAAAAGGGATCAAAGCTGCAAGAAGCTTCCCAGCAGCAACAATTCAATCGTACTGTTGAAGATGTTGAATTGTGGCTCTCTGAAATGGAGGGACAGCTCATGAGTGAAGATTATGGGCGTGACCTTACATCTGTCCAAAATTTACAGAAGAAGCATGCCTTGTTGGAAGCTGATGTTGGATCCCATGCGGATAGAGTTGAAGGTATTCGCACAGCTTCTCAGCAATTTGTTGAGCGAGGACATTTTGATGCAGACAACATTAAGAGCAAGCAGGAAGGTGTCACAGAGCGATATGCTGCTCTTCAGAAACCCATGTCAGTACGCAAGCAGCGTCTCTTGGATTCGCTTCAAGTGCAACAACTATTCAGAGATGTTGAGGATGAAGAAGCCTGGATTCGGGAGAAAGAACCTGTGGCAGCATCTACTAATAGAGGCAGAGACCTTATTGGTGTCCAGAATCTGATCAAAAAGCACCAAGCTGTCTTGGGAGAGATCAATAATCATGAAGGCCGAGTGGCAGCTGTTTGCCAGGCTGGTGAAATTATGATTGGCGATGGCCATTTCGCATCTGAGGAGATCAAAATGCGTATCACTAATCTGAATGAGCATTGGACTCAGCTCAAGGAAAAGGCACTTCAGGTTGGTTTTATTAGAAAATTATTCTTTAATCTAACAGCATACATAAATGGTTAGATTTAAAGTAAATTTGTTTTGTTTAAAACACTCCTTTTTTTGCTACAGCGTAAACAAGACCTGGAAGACTCTCTCCAGGCGCATCAGTACTTTGCTGATGCTAATGAGGCTGAATCCTGGATGAAGGAAAAAGAACCAATTGTCAACAACCAAGACTATGGAAAAGATGAAGACTCAAGCGAAGCTCTGCTGAAAAAACATGAAGCTCTGGTTTCAGACTTGGAGGCATTCGGCAACACCATTCTTGTGCTTCGGGAGCAAGCTGCTGGTTGTCGGGTATGCGACTTTTGCTTGTTCTTTCTTATTTCTTCAGTACACCTTCATAGAAAGTTAAATGAATTTTGTAATTTACAGCAACAAGAGACCCCTGTGATGGATATTACCGGTAAGGAGTGTGTTATGGCGCTGTATGACTATGCTGAGAAATCGCCTAGAGAGGTGTCTATGAAAAAAGGTGACATGCTTACTTTGCTGAATTCCAACAACAAGGTATGTTAATATTCTTGAACTCATTTATTCACATTCAGGCTTAGGGCATTGCTTTGTAATTTTTCTAATTGTTAAATTATTAATATCTTATCTTTAAGGATTGGTGGAAAGTTGAAGTAAACGACCGTCAAGGTTTTGTTCCTGCTGCTTATGTGAAAAAAATGGACGCCGGACTCACAGCATCTCAACAGAACTTGGCTGATTCCAGCTCAATTTCTGCTCGCCAAGGGCAAATTGAGACTCAGTATGATAATTTGCTGGCTCTTGCCCGCGAGAGGCAGAATAAACTGAATGAAACTGTGAAAGCCTATGTGCTTGTTCGTGAAGCAGCTGAACTTGCCACGTGGATCAAGGATAAGGTATTTTTTTCAACTTATCATCTTTTCTTCAGCAGTTATTTCAAACCTATTTCCTCACTGATAATTTTTGGGTGTTGCAGGAAAACCATGCTCAAGTTCAAGATGTTGGTGAAGACTTGGAACAGGTGGAAGTTATGCAAAAGAAGTTTGATGATTTCCAAGCTGATCTTAAGGCAAATGAAGTTCGTCTTGCAGAAATGAATGAAATAGCAATGCAGCTTATGAGCCTTGGTCAGACTGAAGCTGCCCTAAAGATACAGACACAGCTGCAGGATCTTAATGAGAAGTGGAGCTCTCTTCAGACTCTCACTGCTGAGCGTGCCACTCAGTTGGGCTCCGCTCATGAAGTGCAAAGATTCCACCGTGATGTTGATGAGACTAAAGATTGGATTCAAGAGAAAGATGAAGCCCTTAACAATGATGATCTTGGCAAGGACCTGCGCTCTGTTCAAGCCTTACAGCGCAAGCATGAGGGTCTAGAAAGAGATCTCAATGCACTGGGTGATAAGGTATTTATTACAAGAAAACTAATTTGTATTAGTCACAATTTTTTTTCATTAATTGCAATTTTTGCTGAATGTTTCAATTTTATTTTTCAGATCCGTCAACTTGATGAGACTGCTAACCGCCTTATGCAGACTCACCCTGACACTGCTGATCAGACATATTCAAAGCAAAGGGAAATAAATGAAGAGTGGACTCAACTAACTGTTAAAGCAAACAGCCGCAAAGAGAAACTGCTTGACTCTTATGATCTTCAACGCTTTTTGGCTGACTATCGAGACCTGATGTCTTGGATCAGCAGCATGATGGGACTAGTTTCAAGCGATGAGCTTGCAAATGATGTCACTGGAGCAGAGGCTCTTCTTGAGCGACACCAGGTATGTAAGATAACGAATATTTTCCTCTCTTAAAGTCCTATGACTGTGTACATTATCCCATCCAAACACAAAATTTACATTATCAAAGAACAGGGTGTTGAATTACTGGTTTGCAGTTCTAGTCCTGATCCTACATCCAGTCCACCCAAATACATCTTCGAAAGAAAAATTTAAGTCCTGGCTTCACTTACATTAAGTTCCAATGACTCATTTTTAAATTAAAATATCTCCTTAACACTATTAAGCATTACCCTAGGTAAAGCCTCATTTTTTTATGAATTTGCTTGAAACCTGCAGTTATGCTGCTGAAAACTTGGGCAGAACTTATACAGGATGTGTTGCATCCATCTCATGTTAGTATCACCTTTCAAAGCTTGCTTCTCAGGACTGGAGTTTATGGCTTTGTTGTGAAAATGTTTTGTTGTGGAGTTCACAAGACTAAGCCTGTCAACTGGTCTGAGACAAGCTTTTCTTGTTGTAGAGCCATCGTGCAGAGATCGATGCCCGTTATGGGGTGGTCCCACAGGTACAGGTGATTGCTGTGAAAGTGGCGTGCTTGAGCGTTAGGGTGCTTTCCAAGCCTCATGTCATGGACCCTAGAAAACAGCTTGTCTCCCAGTAGTAGTTTTTAAAATTTTATCGAAAAGACCTCAAAACTTACTTCTGTTTTCGTAAGGGTTGTCACTTTGTCAATCCCAGAAGAGGAATAACCTGATTTGTATTCACAGGACCATTACATGTGATGGCTTGAAAATTTCCTAATGAGCATGCCGTGACTTGCCTTGGCGTGGTTTTCTCTTGTGTGGTTTACGAAGCATTTTTTATGGAACTGAGTGAGGTTTCAAGCATTGTTCTCATCATTCTCTGCTCAATTTTGCATTAGATATCTTCCTCATTGCTGATTTTACCTGTGGTGATTCTTTTTATATTTTACTATGAAAATATTTTAATTTTAGTTTAAAGGACTAACGGCTCTCATAACTGATGCATTTAATTTTTTTTTATTTAACTTATAGAATTGTGGTGGAGCTTTCCCTTCTGGCCTAAAATATTTGTTGAGTGAAAAAGTGTTATACATACTTTTTTTTTTTTTTTTTCGCTTTTAGCAGACTTGATTTTGTTTTGTCCCACCACCCTCCCTTTTCCCTCTTTCTATTTTTACCTCTTTTCTACAGACATTTTATTTTTATTTCAATCACTTTGTGCTTTTTGTACAAGTGTGACATTTTTTTAGACCTGCCTACAAGCAAAGATACTACCTCATCAACATTTCTTCTATCCACACAAACATATTTTCAGACCATCTAAACCTTTCTAATCACTTTCAACTCTCATTTTTTTAATACTTAAGACTTTTGAATGTCCAATTAAGTCTTAACAGATGCAGTGGTTCCAATGAACATCATTAGTTGAGTCTGCTATATTGGCATGCACTTTTTCTTGCCACCAGGAACATCGTACTGAAATTGATGCTCGAGCTGGCACCTTCCAAGCTTTCGAACTGTTTGGCCAGCAACTTCTTCAGTCAGGCCACTATGCAAGTGTGGAAATTCAAGAGAAAATGGAAAGTATGACTGAAGCACGCCAAGAATTGGAGAAGTGAGTGGGAATATGAAATAAATGCTTTTTTATATTATTTTCAAGTGTAAACTGCTAAATGGTTGACTTACATCTAATTTACCAGGGCTTGGATAGCTCGTCGTATGCAGCTTGACCAGTGCCTTGAGCTCATGCTATTCTACCGCGACTGTGAGCAGGCGGAAAACTGGATGTCAGCCAGGGAAGCTTTCTTGGCTTCAGAAGAAGTTGACTCGAAAGGTGACAATGTTGAAGCCCTCATCAAAAAGCATGAAGACTTTGACAAAGCTATCAATGCTCACGTATGTGGACTTGCTCCTTTTCGTTACTTTATATGCTGTTGGTTGATTTGACCATATCACTAATTATCATATTGTCCTACAGGAGGAAAAGATTGCTGCTCTTCAAACACTTGCTGATCAACTAATGGCAGCAGAACATTACGCTGCTCCTCAAATTGATTCCAAACGCAAGCAAGTTCTGGATCGCTGGCGCCATCTCAAGGAAGCTCTCATTGAAAAACGATCTAAGCTTGGAGAAAGCCAGACCCTACAACAGTTTTCTCGTGATGCTGATGAGATGGAGAACTGGATTGCAGAGAAACTGCAGCTGGCCACTGAAGAGTCCTACAGGGATCCTGCCAACATTCAGAGCAAACACCAAAAACATCAAGCATTTGAAGCTGAACTTGCAGCCAATGCTGACCGTATTCAAAGTGTTTTGGCTATGGGTCAGAATCTAATTGAGAAGCGGCAATGTGCTGGTTCAGAAGAAGCTGTTCAGGTAACAGAAAATTTGCTGGCAAACAGTTTTTGTGGTGTTCGGGGTTCGTGATGTTCCAAACTTTGTATTTAATACTTTACTTCTGGTTGCAGCGCCGCCTTGCATCCATTGCTGACCAATGGGAGTTCCTCACTCACAAGACAACAGAAAAATCTCTTAAACTGAAGGAAGCTAACAAGCAAAGGACTTACATTGCAGCAGTTAAAGATTTAGACTTTTGGTTGGGTGAAGTCGAATCTCTTTTGACATCAGAAGATGCTGGAAAGGATTTGGCATCCGTTCAAAATCTCATCAAGAAGCACCAGCTAGTTGAAGCCGATATTTCTGCTCATGATGATCGCATCAAAGGTAGCGACAACCTCATTTGTTTTTTAATTTTATGTGACTGTTGGTATTAACTTTCACTCACGCATTCCATTTTCATCAATTTTAGATATGAATGGTCAAGCTGATTCTTTGATTGAAAGTGGCCAGTTTGACACAGCTAGCATTCAAGAGAAACGACAGTCTATTAACGAACGATACGAGCGCATCAAGAACCTGGCAGCCCATCGTCAGGCTCGTTTGAGTGAAGCAAACACACTTCATCAGTTCTTCAGAGACATTGCTGATGAAGAATCATGGATCAAAGAGAAGAAACTACTCGTTGGTTCTGATGATTATGGACGAGATCTAACTGGCGTTCAAAACTTGAAAAAGAAGCATAAGGTTGGCATCTTTAGCTATATGTAGAAACTCTTAATTAGAGTTGTTTGTTAGTTTCTAACCTGTTCTACACTTTTACCCTTCCAGCGATTGGAATCTGAGCTGGCTTCGCATGAGCCAGCCATTCAGGCAGTACAGGAGGCTGGAGAGAAACTTATGGATGTTAGCAATCTTGGAGTTCCAGAGATTGAACAGCGTCTGAAACTTTTAAACCAGGCTTGGTCAGAGCTTAAACAACTAGCCGCCTCTAGAGGCCAAAAGCTTGATGAATCCCTCACTTACCAGCAGTTCTTGGCCAAAGTTGAAGAGGAGGAGGCATGGATAAGGTTACAACTAGATGTTTTGAGCTAACATATGGTTTTCTGCTTGTTGTTTGATCCTTTATTTAAAACTTTCATACTTTCTATTTTTCAACAGTGAGAAGCAGCAGCTTTTGTCTGTTGATGACTATGGTGACACAATGGCTGCTGTGCAAGGCCTGTTGAAGAAGCATGATGCTTTTGAAACGGACTTTGCGGCTCATCGCGATCGTTGTGCTGACATCAGCTCAGCTGGATCAGAATTGGTTGAGGCGGGCAACCACCATGCAGACTCTATCACTCAACGCTGCCAGCAGTTGGAGAAGAAGTTGGAGAATTTGGCTGCTTTGGCTCAAAATCGACATGCCAATTTGATGGATAATTCTGCTTACCTCCAATTTATGTGGAAGGCAGATGTTGTTGAGTCCTGGATTGCAGACAAAGAGACCCATGTTCGCTCTGAAGAGTTTGGTAGAGATTTATCTACAGTTCAAACCCTCTTAACTAAACAAGAGACATTTGATGCAGGTAGGTTCACACAGATCCTTCTTCCTGTGTTGTCTTATTTACCGTGAGGGCGTATTTTATGGCATTGTTTTTCAGGTCTCCATGCATTTGAACATGAGGGCATTCAGAACATTTCTGCACTTAAAGAACAGCTGATTGCTGCTCAACATGCCCAGACTCAAGCTATTCAGAAGCGACATGCCGATGTAATTGCTCGCTGGCAGAAATTGTTGTCTGATTCAGCTGCTCGCAAGCAACGTTTGCTTCGCATGCAGGAACAGTTCCGCCAGATTGAAGATTTGTATCTTACTTTCGCAAAGAAAGCATCAGCATTCAACTCTTGGTTTGAAAATGCTGAAGAAGATTTAACTGACCCTGTGCGCTGCAACTCTATTGAAGAAATTCGTGCTCTTAGAGAGGCTCATGCACAGTTCCAAGTAAGAAGTCCTCAAAAACGCCTGAACTAAACTTGCTCTTTACAAATGTACTCACATCATTGTTTTTAAATTTTAGGCATCACTTACTTCAGCTGAGGCAGACTTTTCTGCTTTGGCAGAACTTGATCAACAAATTAAAAGCTTCAATGTAGGGCCTAACCCTTACACATGGTTTACTATGGAGGCTTTGGAAGACACATGGAGGAACTTGCAGAAGATCATCAAGGAACGAGATACTGAGTTAGCCAAGGAAGCCAAGAGACAAGAGGAAAATGATAAGCTGCGGAAGGACTTTGCCAAACATGCTAACCAATTCCACCAGTGGCTCACTGAGACAAGGTGGGTTCATATTATAACTTGAATTTTGGGATGGATGGACCATTGAAGGGCTTCAACTTCTATTTTTACTATACTACTTGGTTTTTTGTATCATCATTATAATTATTTCATCTCTTTTACTTGTATGGTGTATAGATTTCGCCTCCTTGGCTGGGATGGGTGATTATTTATTTTTTTGAGTTCTCTGAGTGTGTGACTGGTTTGATAATTGTATCACATCAGAGCCAATGTAACAAGCTCTTTACACATTCATTGTGATTTAACACAAAAACAAAGACTATCAGCTGGTTTATTAACTTGCATCCGGTGTTTGTTTTCTTATTAATTTATCTATGTCAAAACACTATTCATCTATCTAATCGGAGCATTTAATAATTGTGCTTGTAATGACTAATTTAAAATCAATGTCAGTGACAGTTTCATGAAAATAATCTGACTGTGCTGCCTTTTCTAATCTTCCAGAATTTCAAAGTGTTCTTCATTCTTTTTCACATTAACTTATGTTGCAGAACATCAATGATGGAGGGTTCTGGATCTTTGGAACAGCAACTAGAAGCCACAAAGGTACATCAAGATACTTTATAGGTAGCTTATTGTTTTTAAGAACTAACATGTCTCACAATTGTGCTTTTCTACTTTCCAGCGCAAAGCCACGGATGTCCGTGCCAGACGTTCTGACCTCAAGAAAATTGAAGATCTTGGAGCTATTCTTGAAGAACACCTAATTCTTGACAACCGCTACACTGAGCATAGTACTGTAAGTAAACTTAATCCCTTTGTAGACACCCCAAAACAAATTGAAATAATACTGATCATTTTGTTCTTGCCTTTTTTGCCTAGGTCGGGCTGGCTCAACAGTGGGATCAACTGGATCAATTAGGTATGCGAATGCAGCACAATCTTGAACAGCAAATTCAAGCTCGAAACCAATCGGGTGTTAGTGAAGATGCTCTTAAGGAGTTCTCAATGATGTTCAAACACTTCGACAAGGATAAGAGTGGCCGACTCAACCAACAAGAGTTCAAATCATGTCTCCGCGCGCTTGGGTATGATCTACCCATGGTTGAAGAGGGGCAACCTGACCCAGAATTTGAAAACATTTTGGGTAAGCTTTTTGCCTATGTGCTAGAATGATGTTACCAATTTACAAGCCCTTGTCAATTTTAAACATTATTATTTGCAGATGTTGTTGATCCCAACCGTGATGGATATGTTTCACTGCAAGAGTACATGGCCTTCATGATCAGCAAAGAAACTGAAAATGTGCAGAGCTCTGAAGAAATTGAAAATGCCTTCAGAGCTATTACAGCTGGAGACAGGCCTTATGTGACCAAAGAAGAGCTATATGCTGTAAGTTTCCCTTTAATTTTATGAATGTTGCTGTAATTAACATTTGAAGTGAAATCTATTTTCCTAACTTTTATCTTATTATTTTCAGAACCTTACTAAGGAAATGGCAGACTATTGTGTGGATCGTATGAAACCTTATGTTGATGCCAAAACGGAGAGGCCGATCCCTGGAGCTATGGATTACATAGAATTCACCAGGACCTTGTTCCAAAACTAGGCCATCTGCACACTGCCCAATCATTGTCATTTGCTTTGTTGGCTATTTTAATTATTTATAAATATTTTTTAGTATAGTGAATATTTTATCTTTATTCATTTCTTAACACTCTTCAGATATTACATATTTGTGTAGCTTAGAGAGGTGATGGATAGAAAGGCAGCTTCCTTGAAAGGAATTCACAGTGGGTAGTCATGACTAGTTGACTATAGGAAGTAGCGCTTTTGCTTTCATAAAATTTTGATGAACATTAAAGTTTGTGTCTTTATTACCTTTGTACCTTTCATACTATCCCACACCCATCCCTCAATATGGCCATCATACCTTATAAGCAACTTTTGCTGACTTTTTGTACCCAGTAAAGTTTGTGAAAGTGCCTGCATGCCCTTTATTCAAGAATTGCGTTAAGTGCTTTGTAGGACTGGAAGTGTGCGAGGATAATTAAATTTTGTGCCTCATCACCATTGACATATTTTGTCTTCAGCAAGTCATTGTTAAAGCTTATTTAACTTTCTTTTCTGATGTTTAAAAATTGTATTTTGAGAAAATACAAATGTGCTCTATTTGCAGAAGTTTCATCTCTGGAACATTGTGACTAATAAGCATTTGGGAACTGACTTGGCTTATGCAAGAACTGTTATTTCGTCATGCTGTCTTATCGAAAAATAAAATCATCACTAACCCTGTACGGACTTCCCTTCTTTTATCCGCATTCCAGTTCACGTTTGGTCGTGAGTGACTTGTGAGGATCTCTGGGGGGGTTTAACCAATCAGCAGGAGGCTGGGGTGGAGCGGACGAATCACAGCGCCCGCCGGTGCCGGATTGTAGCGCCTCCCCAGTGCAGTGTTGATGTTGACACCCTAGCTGCCTTCTGAAGGGGTTATGCATCAACTCATTATTTTTGCTATTGGACAACGTTAGTGCCACTTCTCGGTTGCATTGAAGTCCATCGCCGGTTTCATTCCCTTCTATTCTTATTTTCCTCATATATTGAGAGATAACAGGTGAGCATCGCCTTTATTTGTCATGGCTACTGGCTACTTGTGTTTTGCTCCATGAATACTTGAATCGCTACAGGTTTAAAGAAAGCGCACTAACAATCCTCCGTCGTCCAATTAATTTATCGAATCAAAATTATCAGCTGCACTTTTAATGTAATCTATCGCAGCTTAAAGCTGCAAGTGTCAAAGACCTAACCTAGTGACTTCACTGAAGTTTCCAGATCTTACTGGAAGCTACTCACATGTGTTGAAGAGATATCATTCTTCAAACGTCACTGTCGCTTTAACCATATTGAAGTCATTCTGTCGGTTAAAATGGTCTTATCTTATCGTTTCTTTCTGTTTTTTTTTCCACAGGCTTGGGTATGATTGAGGTAACGTGTAATGATCGCCTTGGTAAGAAGGTGCGTGTTAAATGCAACCCAGACGACACAATTGGTGATTTGAAGAAGTTAATTTCTGCACAAACTGGTACTCATTGGGAGAAGATTGTCTTAAAAAAATGGTACACCATTTTCAAAGATCATATCAAGCTGGCCGATTGTATCCTTTTTACTTGTCTCGTAGCTTGAGTTATTAACTGTCGTATGTTACTGTGCATTTTCTCCTTAACATGGGATTCAGATGAAATCCGAGATGGAATGAACCTGGAGCTTTACTACCAGTGAGATACATGGTTGTGTTTATATTTTTTATTTATGTTTAATTGTACGTTACAATTTCTAATAATTCAATCATGGTAATTTCATGTTAAGCTGTCTTCTTTATTTCATATGCTCATGTTAATATTTTAATTTGATAATAGCCCAGCCATACCAAAACAGAAAAGATACATAGTGGTAAAACTTCTTCTCTTGTAATGTCTTATTTGTAAATAATAAAAATCATGAGGATCAAAACTTTGTGCAAGTGTCTCAATTCATAGAAATGCGAGGAACATTGTGCAAAGATAATTAGCATCCTACTCAATTTAAAAGCTTGCTTTTCCTTGAGCAAACATCTTTACATTGAAATAGATTTGTGGCAATTAACATTTTCAGACTTCATGCATTCTTGATTTAATTATAACTCTTTGGTAATTGAAAAGAAAATCACTTTAAAAAAAAATACGACTAGACAGTTAAGAGCAACTGGACACAGTTTAAATGCTGTCATGAAAAGAAACAAATAGCATTGAACTACTACTCTACATGTACTCAGAGATTGCAACAAGAAAGTAAAATTTAAGTGAAAACAAGGTGTCAGGTCGTTTGTTATAGTTAATCAAACATTCGTTGAGGTTTTGAATGAGGATTATATACTCATTCCTCAAGAATGTAGAAATTACGGGTAACATAGCCTTAATGAGGTCGCTTAAAATACACATCAGGAGTGTTTGGCCTTCGAGCACCATGTACTGGAGATGTTGCTGGGGATGGCGAGGCGTGTCCTTCATTCCTCATTTGATCTTGATTACGGTTCACCACAAATTCTCGAATATGCTGCACAATAAGGTCAATAGCCACTGTAAAAAGAAAGAAGAAATTTTGAAAATAAGCATCTCACATAAGCAAAGGAGATCAGGGGTACAATATAAGATCAACTTTAATCTGGAGGTTAAATCTCCAATAAATGTGTATGAAGAATGCTATTCTTCAATGAATAAGTTTATTTCCAATTTTATGTTAGTCGTTCACACATTCTTGCTGCAAATTATCTCCTTAACATTTCAAACTAAATATACACCCACAGGCATCAGAAGGAACATGTATACTATTATGCAATGAGAAGAGATGGATTTCATTTCTTCTCTCAAATAACTGTCACAAAGAATGTGGCCTTGGTCAGTACTTGTTTCATTTAAGATTGGACATGTCAACCAAGGTACAAATATAGTAGGGTCAGACTCAAATTTCACAAATGCACTTCATATATCACTACAAAAATACACAAAATATATTACTCTCAAAAGAGACTTAGAAACACACAGACAAATTTAAAAAGGTTTCTTGTCGACAGAAAAACAAGAGTTAAGTAAAGTAATACTGTGCAACACCATGGTAAACAAACAATTAAACAACCACCACAACGAATGTTCACAAATATAAACTAATATTATGCGTGTTTAGAGCCCATTTAAAGCTAAGGGAAAAACATTGACAAGTAATCATTCACCAATAAAAACTGTTTATGCTCGAATAAAAAATAGAAAAGAATGTGGATGTGCTAATTCTAAACAGCATTCAAATTAACAAGTGAAATATGCAAGTAATACTTAGATCTGATAGTAAGTAAGGAAAGGAATGTGGTGTTATGGTTTACAGTTTATGTGAAACATACAGATAGCTTTCAAGTAACAAAATGAAGGGGGAAGGATTCAGGATTTGGCTAAGAATCCCTTTTTTTTCTTGTTAGGGCAATTTTCATTTTACAGAGTTCAACTATCACACAACAGGCAACAAAACAAGATTTGGAAAAAGCTTGGAACCAAAGGTAATTTGCAAGTTCTCATTTAGAGTTCCTTGTCAAATGTTCATGTAAGAAATCTAATATGAGGCAAAACATTCTACACTTCAAAGATTTGACTCAGCAAATGGAAGCAGTAATATTTACAAGCAATAGGTCTACATAAATAATTTACAAATTCAAACTTAAAGAGAAAAAAACTGCCAGAGAAATGAACTAGGACAGTAGAAGCCAAGGTACAAGCAACGGTCATGTAAGTTGCACAAACAAAACCCTTTCCCCCTATCAAACAAATGATAACAAAAATGCCTTATGACATAAAGCACATAAATGTTTCCTATGCAGACATGGTGACTTAAAATAGGACAGTCTGCATAACAGTAAGATTGTGAGCTATCAGCACCCAAGTCAAAAAGTATAGGCAGGATTGAGAGATACTTCTCAATGCTTATAAATAAACGGATAACTAAAATATTTTTCTTTCTCATTATAAGCAGAAAACTGATGAGAAGCAAAATAGTTGGCAGCAGCTTGTGGTACAAAACAGGATTCCACTGATGACTAATTCACCGACTCAATGTGTCGGAACTGCCACTAGAGCGCCGTGTGACTGTACACTTTTGCAGAACCGGTGTTGATCCATGCAAAATATCCCAGATGTGATGTACTATCAGGTCGATTGCCACTGCAAACCCAAACAAAATGATTCAAAATGACATGATGACCAACAGTGGCATCTCTCAATCCCACACAAAAGATTTTTAAGTTAAAATTAAAAAAATAATTTATAAGCATATGATACAAAATTTTTAAGGATCAATGTTTTTCAGCGGCCAAGAAAGATATTTTTTATTTTAGTGGAAAGGGGGGAAAAGGTGGTGGGTGTAAAAGAGTGGCTGACGTGGAACATATCTGCATGCAATGTGAAGCAGCAAGTTTTTGGGCCAGCATGCGATGGCTATGAAAAATAGGTTAGTTATAAAACACAAGGTACGGACAATGCACCCTACTTTAGTTGTTCATTTTTACCTTACATAAAACAGTTTAATCACTTTTATCATAAAACTTACCAATATTGTCTGCTCCACGTGGTATGATAACATCAGCAAATTTCTTGGTCTGAGTTGAAAAAACAAACCAACAGCAAAAATGAGTAAAATTGCAGGTAAAATGCATCCATCATTTAAAGACCCAGAGGGCGGAATATATCAGAGTCATGTATGTTTAAATAACATACTCAGATTAATTTGGTACATTAAATCAACATAGACCTACCGGCAGGCAAAATTCTTCAAAAGCAGGCTTGACATAATTCATATACTGGTTAAGGACTTGCTCCAAGTCTCTACCTCTTTCATTAATATCTCTGGGAACTGAAATCATTCAAACATTTCCCCATAAAATTAACAACTGAAGTTTGAGTAGAACGAAAACCACAACGAGATGCTGCAAGAACTTCACTTACCCCGCCTTGCTAATCGAGTATCTGAATCAGTATCCACAAACAATTTCATGTGAAACAAGTCTCGAATCTCGGGAAAGTAAAATACTAAGATACCTTCAAACAAAACAACATCCGCAGGGTATATAGTAATAAATTGTCCTTCGCACCTGAAGAATGAGCAAATAACACTGTCAACATAAAGGTCCCACACAAGGGACCAGATCTCAAAGGGACCGTTCAATGTAAGTAGAGATTCACTTGCCTTGAATTTGTCCTATAGTCATAGACAGGAATGTCACATTTTTTGCCAGCTAAAATGTCTTTTAAAGTCTGGTAAATGAGATCTTCATTGAATGCACCTAAGGAAAAACAAATGAGTCAACAACAAATCGAAATAAAAAGGTAAAAACATGGACAAAATAATAATTATGAATGAAATTCACCAGGGTGATCAAAGTTGTACTGTCCACGTTCAGCTTTGGCTCTTTCGGCGGGCGTAAGTTCTTTGTAGAAAGAGTCTTGACTGATAGAAACTACTTGTCGCTGAGCATTTTCGACATCAACTTGCCCCAGTTTCTCCATTATGCGTTTGCAAACAGTGGACTGAGGACAGAGGAGCAGAGAAATGGCTTGTGAAAGAATGTCTGACATCTCAAGCGACACATAATGCATGAGCCACAATGGCAAGTTTAACACCACATGGATGCACGCACCTTTCCGCTGGCTGTCCCTCCGGCAACTCCGATTAGAAACGGGGATTTCCCTTCGACTCCATTAAGCCTGCCATTGAAACGGCCGTTGGTATTTGCCTTTGGCTCGCCCACATTGCTCGCATTGGCGGCCATGCCTCGGCTGCTGAAGAGTCCTGCCACTCGGGGCCTAAACCACAGAAAGTCAATATCTTTCTTCAATCATGATGGTGACACAGAAGCGTGAACGCGCAAAGAAAAGTCCTCACAAGCCGGAGCACAATGAGAGGAGGCAAAGCACAAGCACTCAACGGAACAGAAGAAACTCACCTGAAGTACGAGACGAGCGTGGTGACAACACGTTCTGCAGACGGGTGTCTGCTGCTGTGTCTGCTACGCAGAAGCACACCCCTCATTCCTAACATTTTCTACCCCTAAAGAAATGACAGCACAGGAATGTCAACAGAATGATAAAGCAACTTTTACATGATGAAGAAATCAAAAATTTCGATCTATTAAACCGGCTGCAATCAGTAAATCACGATGTAAGTTATGTTATCGGAACGAGCACGATATTTTTTCCGCGTACAATGTTGGCATTCCAGGAGCCAAATACTATGAGAACTTTCTCACAACAGAATCTAGTTTGGAGAGTTGAAAGTAGTCTAATGATTATTTCTTAATGTATTGTTTGAATGAAATTTGAAAATGTTTTTCTAGTGATATCATTTTTTCATAATTGGCTCATATTTTTGTCACAGGCTAAAAAGTTCAACATCTTTCAGTACAGTATCAGAACTCTAAATTTTTCATGTACTCAAACCAAATAATAAAAATAAAAACCAAACAAACAACAACCGTTGCGCTCAACGGTTAAAGAGCAAAGAGCCGGTTGAACGCTGCCCGGCATTTATCCTCGTTACTGTTGGTCATTATTTTACTGTAGCATCGCATTATTTGTCCTCAATAATGTCGAATGTGCACTAAGCTCTGTCAAGAATTCTCTGTGCCTGCTTATCCAGACTTAATAATTCTTCTTCATTCTATTATAACCTTGCACACTTTTGACAACTGTTCCCGTTAAAATGGATAGTAAGTTATTTTGGTTATTTTCTTGTTTTTTTTTTCACTTTCTTGTGACGTTTCTCTATCTGTCTTATGATCTAATGTCCAACTTCAAACTCCAAATACCTTTATCCTTAATTACATGGTTTTTCATGTGTTTCAGGCTTAATTGATTTCAACAGCCCTAAGCTGAGGAGAGAGGATTTACCTCTCATACCAGGAAACTTTCTGGGGTCAATGTCACACCCCTTCCCTGTGTCCGGAGAAGAAAGCAACCCTTTCGATATGGTTGTCTGCCAAGTTGCCGCCAATGCTGCTGCAGAGAATGACCCTTTTGAAATGGTTCTTCACGATGCTATTAACTGCCAGGTGGTCAACAAAATGGACTTAAACATTGCCAGGGAAAACTCCTGTCCCAAGCTAGATAAGGAAAGAGTAAGGAAGTCAATTTCTTTACCAGACTTGAGACCTTCCGCTAGTGACTCAAATTCCAGAGCACAGGAGACTGAACATATTGGAAGTGAGTGTGTGGCCCCAGAACAATGTTTTCAGGACACCTTCCATTCTGTCCCCCAAAATGATTACTTTCAGAGTGAAACTGTTAATAATCATGATTCTGCTGGATGGAATTATTTGGAAGACATTCCCCCTCCTGACTCACTTCTGAATGCAACTGTAGATATGTCATGCTTTCTTGATGACACCCTATCAGCAAATATTTCAAGCAAGCAGATTGTACAGCACCCATTACCTTCTGGTCTGCCAGAAAATCAGCTCAGTTTTGTTGATTCCCTTGGATTAGAAGAACCTTCAAAGGCAAATGTTAAGTCTGAGGAGCAAATAGTATTATTGGCACAGAAGAAAATTGAGAATATCATATCAAAAGCTACACTGGCAGTTCAAAATGACATTCAAGATTCCATCATTCAGAGGAGATTATCATCGCAGTTACTTACTCCCTCTCAGGAAGCTCTGTCATTCTGCACACCCAAAAGGTCAAAAGAAACACGTTCCAGGCCTAGCATAGAGCCATCATTGTCTGTTCAAGAGTGGTCCAGAAATGAAATTATGAAACTAAATATTGTTTTGCCTGAACCTCCCAAAAAATCTATTGTCAGTCAAGGTATAGCAGTTACTCCTATGTAGTGGACTTTATTTTTTGAACATGTTATACTAGTTGTTACCTTGTTCCAGATTTTGAGTCTGACATAGATAAAATTTGCAACTCTTTTATGAATGATGAGGCAAATATCAGCTCTGAAGTATGTACTTTTTCTCTATTCTGTTCTCAATCTGCTATCATCATTTTAACTGTTACACTTTAACATCTTTTTTAGGAAATGCCAACAGGAGATTTATCTTTTTCTTCGCCCTTGAAACAAGTAATATCTCCTAAGCAGAAGGAAGGGAAAATCCTACCCTCTGGTGCTGAATCACTAATGAAAAGCCCAGATTTGTCTTCTTCACCCTCCCTTCTGCCTCTTCCTCTATGTGAGGATGCTGTGCGTAACTTGAGTCTTTGCTCTAAGTACTCCCCCTCAAAGGGCAGCACTCATCAGAACAAATCTTGTAAGTACCTTTTATTAAAATGATTGATGGCTTATTTATTTAGACCTGGGATGTGGTTAATCATAAATACGTCAACTGCAGCTTTAGGTGTCGCACAATCTACACACTCAAGTACTCTTGAGCAAACTGGAAAGCAAACCAAGCTATTTTTAAGGAAATCTGTTGTGCCATCCAAAACAAGTTCTAAAATGGCCCCCATGAAAGCTACAGCACCTGTCCAGAATATGACAAGGGCAAAATGTAGGTCTAGCTATTCCTTTCTTGTAAGTACTTGTCAATGTTGCTCTCACTAAACAATATGCTTTGTTTTTATTTTCAGCATCTCTTATCACCTCTGCAAAACTTGACATAAATAATGCAGTATCTAGCATTGCAAGAAAATCTGTCTCTAAGGTATCCCTCTTCCTTGTAGTGTTGACTTAAGATCCAAAATCATTAAGTTTTATTATATTGTTTTTCCTTTGTAATGTAGATGCCACAGTCACCTAGGTGTGCTATGAGTGGGTCTCTTCCTAACCTTTCAACCCATGGAAGTAAGGCACCATCAAGACTACCTTCACCTCGAAGGTCTGTTGCACCAGTGCAGGAGCCTCTAAATATGATGATGAAGAGACATACTGAAAATAGAAGGGAGAAAAGTACTAATCAGATTTCAACATCAACTGCTCCACTTCATTCCTCTCCAAGACCTATTCGTAAAGGATCTCTAAGCAACAAGTCAGGAAGAGTACTTGCAGATGTTAACACTTCCTGCAGTACTAGAATGACTCCAAAATACAAAAATATTCATTCTGTACGTTGCATAGCTGCTAAATTTATTCTTTTTGTGCATGTTTTAATGTGGCACTGTCAATTTAATTGTGTTCTGTTTTCCTTACAGGATAGTCCAAGAAGAGGAAGATCAATTGTAACTGAAAAGGAAAACTTTTTGTAAAAATTGTTTTTTTTTCCTGGACCAGCTTTTCTATATAAAAGAACTTTCTTTGTGAAGGAAGATAACCAATTGAGTATTTTTTTATCACTTGATGATACTAAAATACCCATCTAGCTGTATTTTTTCTTAATCTAAGTGCACATATATTATTTGATGACCCTCTTACTGTGCTCTTTTGTTGTTCAATAATCTGGACAGTATTTGTTAAATATATTTAATTAACAAAACACTCATAACAATCTAAAATGGAACTGCATTGTTTATTTATATCCTGTCTGCACACTTGGAATGCTGGAACCGGCTATTGGACTTAAAGTGAAGTGACTTCAGTTTGCATCTTAACAATTTCATCAGTCAGATTTTGTTTCTATCTGAATATGCAAGCGGATGGGGTACAGGGACAGTTTTTGTAGTGTTTTCTTTCTTTATCATCTGCTCTCTATCAGGCATCATCTGTAACGGAAAATTTACAATAAAAATGTGATCATTGCAAAAGGAAAAAAAAAGGGGGGGATGAAACCATTTACCTTGTCTGCTATATGCTTGTGCACTAAGCCATCACCCATTACATAGTATGTGGAGAATCCATCTATCCACCTGAAAAAAAAATTAATATGGAACTAACCAATCTTTTTAATTCAAGATTTTTTTTTAAAATGCATGTCAAGTATTTATCTTACGTTTCTTTACTGTTGCTGAAACCCGATCTTATGTTGAGAAGTTTCCAGCCAAGTAGTTTACGAATCTGAAAAATAAAGTGTAATTTCATAAGCAAAACAGAATTATGTATCTAGAAAACACTCTTGACAGGCTGCCTTATGTTTGAAAACACACATACCCTTATCACAGATACCTTCCATCGAACTTTTACCGTTCCATCTTCTGGATGTGCAGTAATTTTTAACACATCTAAATTGACATACATAAACCTCAGATGGCTAAGGAGATAAAAAAACTTTGCTTGAAGGAAGTATTGATCAAATCCACTGCAAAAGAAAAAAGGGAGTGTTAAAAATGGTCAAATCTTACTCTACTGAAACACAGTAAAATCCTTACCTAAATCTTTTTCCTCTTATATTATCCTCAAATATAATATTTTTGTGGTATATTTTATAATTGAATGGTCTTATAAAAAACCTTGGTAACTGGGTTGAGAGCAAAGCAGTTGGTCTTAAGGAAAACACTTCTAACATTCAATAAGAGACACACATTTTCTTTAAAAAAATGAAATGACTACTTACATCATCAGCTAATGTGTCAAGAACTTTTTGAAGCTGCTCTTCAGTGGGGGGCTTTAGAGGATCCAGTCGTTCATCATTTTGGGCATTGTTGGGACTGAAGCCTTCTTCTCTTTTAACAGGAGAAGAATTTTTAAACTCAACACCAGAATGCAATAAACTACAACTTACTGGTCTTTTCTTTTCATGTGGATGGTAAGAACCGCTAGAGATTTCATCACATTGTAATGCATCAGTTGTCCCATGATATTGAGCACCAAGCAAATTAGCACTGCAGGGACCAATGGATGAAGACTGTCTGAGTTGAAAAGTGGTACGGGAGTCTTCTCCAACAAAGATTAAGGATGATATAAATCTAGTGACATCCAAATCACTCTTATGTTCACGATCCTGTTCAAGATTTGATAATGGATCCACAAATGTTTTAGTATTTGGTGGATTAGTTGAAGAGGATGTATCACCATTAGCTAGACACTGAAACAGAATAAATACAAACAAATTAAAAGTCAATTCAAATTTTCCCTGAAATATCTGTAGTACAAAGTCAAGGCATGAGTGTGTACATAACCTTCAAACACATCAAGCAGACAAGCAGAAGACAGTACAAAAACACACTTCGAATAATGGAAAGCAACAAAAACATCTCGTGACAACCACTCCAATGGCAGCTTCAGCAAATAATTTAATGATTTACCATCTTCGAAAGTAATCACAAGAGCCATGTTAATTGAATTAACAAAACTTTAAGTGTATGTCAAGATAGATAGAGGTTAGACTTACGTCTCTAAAACAGGAACGACACATTACGTGAGAGGCGTGGAATGGAAAGTTTAGTAAACCGACAATTTCAGCTTTGTTAGAATATTACCTCAGGTAGAAACGGAGATTTGAAGCATGGTTTCGCTGTCGATCTGGAGCAGACAGTGGCATGAGACAGTTTGACGACGAGCGGTGCGACAGAATGTACTTTGTTCGCAACAAATTTTAAACAGAGGGCCATTCCTGGGCCATGCTTGATCATTGTTGAAAACTGAATGAAGTTGTGCAATGACAACGACACTGTCTTCTTAAGCTCAACTTGGAGGCATTTGGAAAAGTTGGATTGTTCAATGTGAGCTAGCCCTTGCTCGTTCCTCGTTCCTCCCTTCGCTCTGCCAGTCCACAAAAGTTACGCACGCCACCGTATGCGACTCTCAATGGGAGTGTATTTTCATAACGAGTCGTTTGGATGCCCTACTACCCCGAGTAAGCTTCACGAAAACGCTGCAAGCTGCATTACCCTACCCTACATTACCCTCAGAAAAAATGCATTATTTTTTCGGAATCTCCCTACGGCTACGAGCGCTCTCTGTCGACGGGTCACGGAACCACGCACCCAATGGCCTAATGGCGGAAAGACATTTCAGCTTAGTGATGGGTTAGATTTACGTTGTTTTCCGCTTTGTCAACAAAGTCATTAATTTGGTACTTTCACGGCTTCTCCTTACACCAAGGTAATATTAATCAGGATAAAGGGAAAGAATATAAATGCTAGATTTTTTAACCTGGGTAACGGGTTATGACATGTTGTGTTTTGAGAGCCTAAATCCCATTGTAATGCACTCTTGAACTATTTGCTGCAGTCTTTACTTATATTTGACACTGCGAACTTTTGACCATTGCATCAAGTGTTTGAAGTTTATCCCATCATATTTTTAACGAAAACTTGTTAAAGGCTCCATTTCATATTTTGGGGGTCTTGTATTCTTTCAATACATTGGGTGTCAGATTTGTTTTGGAATGAAACTAAAACTTCCTTGCACCTTTTCTTTTTTTTTCCATTCTCTTTTCCTTTGGGCACATTTCTGTCATGCCCCAGGCAGCTCAGTATTTCTTCTTTCCTATTGAATTTGTCGAGACCCGTTTTTGCTGAGGTTCAGTATAATAGTTAATTTACCCAATTACTGTATTCCATATCAAGGTGTGAACCAACTTGATAATGGTAGAATAGCATTGAAAGAAAAGCAGAGAAGGGTAGTACCTAGAAAGATCTCTGTTAACAAGTTCACGTTACTTGTTTTGCAGTGAATACGATGGATGATAACGGATCCGTGCAGTCCCTTCAGTGGGACATGCTGGACCTGGCAGACCACCTCCGCCAGGAACGTTTATTCGTATCCTCTGAGCAACAACATTTGCAAGAGCTGAATGCCAAGGTAGGTTCTGTTGCTATATCATTTAAACTTATTTGATACATCTTGGATTTTTATGTTCACCCCTCTTCTTCTGTTTCAAAGGTTGTCTCTGTATCATCAAGTTTAGCTCGAATGGCATGGATTATGCTGCAACAAAGAACAAATTTGAAACACTTGATACTGGCTAGACCTGATTGCCCACCATCAGTGTGCTGCCAACGAGCCATCGCTCTTGAAGAAACACAGTTCATTGATGGCTACAAAGAACTGCCCTTTCAGGTATAGAGTGCCACCAGCCTGGTCCCCATCTATTTAACTGTATCTATTGTTTATTATTAGTATGTTTTATCATTATTATTTTTATTATTAAGTATCATTGTTTGCTTGCAGGATTGCGGTGAATTCATGCAAACATTGCGCACATCACCTCACCTTCTTGCTGCATGCCTTGCTGCTGGTGACAGACTAATGCCTGAGGCAATGCCTGCAGTTATTAATACATTGTATGGAGGCTTGTTTGGATCATGTTTGCTACCAGAAGACAAACTTTTAGTTTTGCGTCTGCTGCGACACTTGACACAACTACAGCTTGTACCATCTGATAATCCTAGGAGGTGCATATTTGAATCTTCTCAAACCAATCAACCAGCTTTCTTAGTTTTATAGTAATAATTTAATTATGTTCCTCTCTGTTAAAAGGATGTTGAGACATGGATCTTGTGCTCTGGCAAGACTGTATGCTGTCTTCCATGAAGGTTTATTTTCTGCAAAAATCTTTCTTACTGCAGCTTTGCATGGCCCAATCATGCAGTTACTTATGGAAGATGAGTGTTTCCTGGACATTGATCCTGACAAAGCGGTTGTGAGGTGTGTTCAGCAGAATTACACTTATGTGTACCCTCATTCTGGGTATTCTATTCAAATCTTTATTTTTGATGAATCTCATTTCAACATGTGCCTTCTACCTCAGGTTTCCTCCTGATGAACGCATGAAAAAGTTTGGTAAAGAGGGAACACCGGAGTACTCTCTAAGACTTCAACGATATCGTAGCTGGACTGTTTCAAACCTTGTTGTTTTGGTACAACGCTTTGTTGTAAGCTTAAGGGAAAATATGCATTGCTTTCCAACATCCATAAGATGGCTTGTGAGACAAATATCAGGCATGCTTTCTAAATCAGGCCAGCTTGAGCCTAAAGAGGTACTGTCCGTCATTTTCCTTTGTATATTAGTTAAGTTTTTTTTTTTTTTTTTTTTTCAAATTTTAATTTACTCTTTGTATTTGCAGGTCTTTGATATTTGTGTGGATCTTATTTTTTCATTTTTGATCTGTCCTGCTATAGTTGATCCAGAGCAACATGGCATTACAGATGCACCTGTCAGTTATGTTGCCCGATTTAACTTAATTCAGGTTGCTCAAATATTGCAAGTACTAGCTTCCAGGAAATATCAAGATGTTGATCCAAAGGTCTGGGATCTTTATTCTCAGTTTGATAAAGATATAGTATCATCACTTGTTGATGGGCTTCTGGAGGGAGCAATCAATGGTCTGCTTGAGGAGCCTGTCATCTCAGAGAGCTGCAAATTGCAGGGTCTGTCTCGTTCAGCTGCCCTCCTCACAGAAGCAGAACTTTATGGCCTGGTAAAGCACCATCTCTTCTTTTACACCATTTTCTATATTTCTGTCCATCACATCAAAGCTTGGTACTATTAATGTGGTTCTTTTTTGAAAAGGTTAACTTCCTTCAAACTGTTCAAGCAAGCACGGGTCCTGACAGCGATGCTACTGGTCAAGTATCAGCAGGATTGTTTGATGAAGCTGGTGTGGACAGAAAATTGTTGGCTGCCCTTTTAGCGCAACTTCCTCCCATGGCCATTGCAACTGCAGCCTCTTTTCAACAACCGTGTGTTAATGGAAATGTGAATACACCATCTCCATCTAGCAGTTCGGTCCATGGCTCTTCTAATTCTGCTAAACCTAACGCCCTATCTCCTCAAAACATTGCAAATGGAAGTAGTTCTTCACCAGACACACCAAATAGGAAAGCCAGCATTATTGGTAAAGGTAAGGGCAAAACTGTTTTCAATTTTTTTGAGATTCTTTTAGTTCTATGCTCTCTAATAAAAAAGGGTCTCTCTCTTAGGAGTTGCTGTTGCTATGAGCAAAACAACCAAAGCAATACGTAGTGTGGCAGGATCTAGTGACAGTCCTGAGGAAAGTACTGCCACAGAGGGTGCGGACGACTCAATAGAAGTTAATAAGTATAGTGTTTTGGTTATCCCGTTTTCTCCTGATATGGGACAGTATGTTGGTTTGTTGCCAGAACAAAAGGTAGACATTGCAGATGATAAATTTCATGTCAAGTTAATCTCTTCGGAGTGTTTTACTAAGTTTTGTGAACATGTGTCCAGGTACTCAACATAGATTGTGACGCTCAGAAAAACTTACCTACTGCTGATGGTTCTACCAGCCATCACAGTGTGGGCACTTCATCTACTGTTCGCCCTGCTGTGGTTCCACCAGAACGCTCTGAAAGCCTTGAAAAACGTACTAGATTTTCTCTTTCACACGATGAGGGCTCTATAGGTATTCATACATTTCTTTATTTCTTTAAAAGGCATGTTAGTAATGTTTCTTTTCTTCAGAAATTTGAAATGGCCATTTATGATCATTTGCAGGTAATACAAGTGATAATCTTGAAGCAGTTTCTGAGGCTGCATCCAACCACAGTGTTGCATCATCTCTTGAACTTGAAAATGAAGATCAAGATCAAAACGACAATCTTTCAGACATGGTTTCTGCTAATGTATCGGGAAGAGGGACTCCTAACATTTCCGGTGCCTGATTTATCTTATCTTAACTTGTCTTATTCTAAAATACTAGCTGTACAAATAAAAGCAAGAGAGCTAATCTGATTACTTTATGATTTCAGGGCGTGACACACCCTCTTCTCAAATCACTGAGGGTGATGAAGGAGCAAGGAATGCTGCAGTGGAACCTCGCCAGAACTATGATTTCCCTCCACCTCCACCACCTACCAAACAAAGCCGCTCGGACATTGATGACAAGTTTGGCAAATTTGAAATAAAGAAGCTCCTTGAAGGGGATGAAACAATATCACTGGTGAGTGACACATGGAGCACTGACGTCTTGGCTAGTGACAGTGAACTCATTGAGCAAAGCGAGCGTGAGCGTGAGCGCTACAATGCGCAACACCCTCCACCATTGCTGCCACTCTCTATGCCTCCACCTTTAGCACCTCTTCCTGGGGTGTTGCCTGGCCCGCTTGGAGCAGCTCAGCAAGTAAGTTTGTATAAAATGTCTCTCTTTTATGTTGTTAACAAATAAATTATCTATACACGGACTAACATGGGTCTCTTTGATTTTAGAATCTGATTGATTTGTCAGAGACAGCCTCAGAAGCATGGAGCACTGATGTTCTTGCATCTGATTCAGAGCGTATGCTGGAAGTTGATACTGATGACACAAGTAGTGTAGCAAGGTAATGTAACCCTAGAGTGATTTTGGTAAAATACTGTCAGCCAGGGCTATATTTAAAATACTTATAATAATATTATAGGTCTGATGATACCGCAAGATCTGAAGTAGAGAGTCGTGGGGAACCTGAAGGAGGAGATGACACACCACCATGTAAGTCTTAAAATGTGCAAAATCATGTATATTCATTACGGAAGTGGCTTATGCATTTGAGTTGTATTTTGCAGTGAGTTCTGCTGGTGCAGTATTTCGACCTATTCGAGATGATGGCCGCCCTGCAAGTGTGTCAAGTTTGGCGAGCTCTGCTAGTGGCATGGTTCCCCCGTCACCAACTAGAAGTGATTCAGTTTCCTCACACCCTACTTGGAATGTGACTGGACGAGGAGGAGGTCGGGCCGACTATCGCAGGAGAACCTTGGAGTATATTGACAATAATGCACGAGCTCAGGCTGCAGCAATCAGTCGACCAAGTAAGATTTTAAGCAAGCCTTTCTATACAGTGCTCTTTACTTGAAATTTCTTTAAAGTAACACATCTGTTCTGATTGCAACAGCTCCACTTCCAATTACCCATGAAGAAACGCGCATTCCACCAATGGGCCCCATTGGTCGCAGCCAGAGTGTTCCAGTGTCGCCACCATTATCAGTTGTCAGTGACCCTGCAGTCGCTTCTCCTCTGCTTCACCCTGTACCCTCCTCTACTCCTCTGAACCCCTTTTCAGCCTCCACCTCCTCCCTAATTCCTGTTCCAACCAACTCCGCGCCTTCATCTTCATCCATTAAGCCGCCTCTGCTTTCTGGACCTGCTGAGGTAAAGAAACTCCCTCCGTGACGGGACTGGGCCTGGGACTTTGCGGCCCCTCTTCCCACTGCTAATGACGCGGCGCCCTTCTCCCTGTTTTCTCGGTGCAGGTGCAGGCTCTGATAGACGTTGACAGGGTGGACGAGGCGGAGGCAGCCTCGCAGGTGGCCAGCCACGCCAGCACGGCCAGCCTCGAGTCGTCCAGCAGCAGTGGCGGAGGGGCGAGTGGAGGCGCCAGCGGCAGCGGCGGCAGCAGCAGCGCCGACCTGAAGCCTCCGCAACCGCCTCCACCCGCACTCACTTCCACGCCGACGCCGGACCTGCCCGCCCCCGCCCCCGTCATGGCCAACGGCAGTGCGTGCGGCAGTGCGGGGGCTGGCGCGCCACTGCCCCTGTCGCTGTCCTTGTCCTTGTCTCGCGCGGCAGTCGCCACGGGGGCCATTCCCAAGAGCATCAGTTTCGACAAGACAGCTGAAAGGGGCGACAAGGTGCGAGAGAGAGCTTAGTTTTCGCTTACTGGAAGTTACCTTGTATGTCAAAGATTAGTTAATATATTTTTGCTTAACTCTCAGGAGCTTCTGGATGACGATCAAAAGCACAAACGAGGTTTCTTCAAACACCTGAAATTAACATTCAAAAATCGACAAAGAAAAACTCTGAATCGATCAGGTGATGACATGAGTCGTGATGAAGGGGGCTACGGCGACGGTTCTCACTTGCGTCTAAGGCGCGGGCTCTCCGAAGATTCTAAGGGAACTTATTCTGAGTCATCCGAGGATATTCTGGCCAAATATCGTCGAAAGCCCAGCACGGGTGCGGACTCGGCGGCCTCAGAATCGTCTGCCAGAGTGCCAGCCTCTGCTGCCAGTCTCTCAGAACGTGAGGGCGAACCAGAAGGAAGTGACGAGCGGCTGTTTATTGATCCCAACAATGTGGAAGCATCGTATGCCTTCAAGGATGCCAAGCGGAAACTTCGCATGGTATTGAGCACTGCGGATCTCCAGCATGTCCCATGGCGCTCTCAATTTTCTCACAAAGCTGTGTGTATCATTTTCTTTCATTTGTTTGATATTGTGCTTATTGTTCAGTAATTTGCAAATTGTAACATGCCATTTTCCAACATTTTCTTGTTTAGGATGATCCTTGGTTGAGAAAAGACAATGAATTAATAGCTTTTTTGAGAATGCAACTTGCTGAGGCAATTAATTTACAAGATCGTGCTCTAGCTGCACATTTACATGAAACTTTACGCTGCATCAAACTCTTCAACAATGACGGGTATGGCCCCATGATAAATCCATATGTGCACTAAAACTCTGTTTTGAAACTGCATGAAACCAAACAATTAAACATGTCCCTTTTTATGCTAGGTGTCACAAGCTTTTTAATTCATTGAAAGAAGATTATTGCCAGAGAACTCCCTACACTGCATACCTCGTGAGATGTCGTCAGGGCTTGTTATCCACACTTGCTCACTTAGAAAGGTATAGTAGTTTACTGTTTCATTTTTATCCTGCCCCTCTCTGTTTAATTCAAGGATGAATAATAATAAATCTTTCTGTTACAGAATGATGGAACGCATTAAATGTGAAAGAGCAGTGTGTGATAGATGTGTTGTCTCAGTGTGCGTGCGCATGTTTTTGGAACGAAGAGAAGTGCAGGTTACTGATTTCACCCTTGAATTTCAGCAGCTCACTCTTGCTGATGAAAAAACTGATTTGTTGGAAAACTTCTTGCAAACTCTTGCCACTGATATGGAAAGGGACCATTTCTGGTCAGGTATGAGCACATCTGACCTTTTTGTTCCAGTTATTTTTTATCGAACTTGAGTTTTAATGCTTGAAATGCTTTGTTCAGGTGTGAGTCAAGAGCAATTGCTCCAGGCTCGTACAGCCATCGAGCAGGTCATTATCAGTAGAGTTTATCCATATGCCTTGTATCCAAATGGCGAGGGTGACATGTCACGTGACCAGTAAGCATCTTTCTGTCGTTTGACTTACCAAATACACCTTGTGAAACCTAGTCCTGAAAAACTTATAATGATAACTTTCTTTCAGAGTTCTCCATGAGCACATGAAAAAATTATCAGCAATAATTACGCCAAATCATAAAGACATTGACATTGCTAAGGTAATATCTATTGTTGTAACATTTACTAATTTTCCAATCATAATTTGTGATTGCTCATGTTTGTTTTAATTAGTTTATTTCAATTAATAACCTTTTTATTTTAACATGAATAGATGTTCCATTATGAGTGCCCATGGCCTTCAGCACAGGCAGAAATAGCTGCTATATCTGCATATAAAACACCTCATGATAAATTGCAGTGTGTGTTCCGATGTGCCACAACTATCATGAATTTGCTAAAGATGGTTCAGGAACGAAATATTCCTGCTGCAGATGATCTTGTTCCTGTTCTGGTGTATGTCCTTATTAAGGTAAGTGGTTTTCATTGGTAATGAAAGTATTTTTATAAGGTGTTGTCTCTGAGCCTGAGTCAGTATTAAATGGGGTTTCTTTTCTTTTATCTTGCAGGCCAATCCCTTGTCACTTCTTTCTACCGTTCAATATGTGAACACATTTTATGGCAGCCGATTGGAGGGAGAAGAGCATTATTGGTGGACGCAGTTCTGTTCAGCTATTGAGTACATTAAAACCTTAGATTACAGGGATTGATGTTTTGATCCTTGTTTAAGCTAAACATTTGGAACTGCAAGTAATGTTGATAGTGAATTCCTCTTCTATTGGTGGACTGATTGATTACAATCTTGTTCCTCCATGAATGAGAATGCATTTTTTCACTGACTATCTAATCATCCTCACCAACAAAAATTCGTGTGGTGTTCTTGTTTTTTTGTTGTTTTCTCTACAAGTGTACTTGTAGGCTCATAAATACATATTTTAAATGACTGAAATAATCAAAATGATATTAAAGGTAGAGAATGGAATGGATTACTTTTATATAAGACAGTTTATGCCTTATTTTGAGTACTGAAGTCACAACTGTACTCCCCTATTTTTGTATGGCCACAGCATTTGTTTGACATCTTATTGTAAATTAATTATTTCAGTTTTCTTTCTTGTAGTATTTGAAGAAACATTCCCTGACTGTGATGGCCAATTTCAGTGTGGTGCTAAAGATCTTCTGATCTTTTAAAATGAAGAAACCTGTTGTAAAATGCTTATCAAATATTCTGCATGGGATAGAATCCCATAGCATCTAGTTCCTCATGTACAGCAATATAAATGACAGTCCCTTTTTTATTACTATAATATATATTATTTTTTGAAGAAATATTTTTGTTCTACATGTCATTCTCTGTGGGCTGTTTGTCTTTTTACCGCATTTCCTTTACTTTATGATAGACCTCATTGCATCCATAAGATGCCAGCGAATCACCTCTTTGGGAGTTTGTTTTGTTCCTCCACATGGGTCTGAAAGTCCGCAACTTTTGATTAATTTTTTTTTTTTTGCGTGACTCATTATGTGTTTGTTAACGTCCCTGTCCTCTCATTTCTAATTAGGCATGATGATATTAGTGAGTTCACAGCTTTTCACCCTTTAGGGTCACAAAGTTTTCTTTGTATTCCATTTTACATTTGCCACAAATCAATTAATTAGTATGTATTTCCAAGGCATTTTTGAAAATGTTGATTTTGTTCTCCATGGTTACTATTACTTTTCATGTTATATTGTTTTGATATAATACTGGTTACGTAACTTTTGCTTTACAGCAGTCACCTGTAACACTTTTCACTTGTGTTATCAAAACTCATAAAGTTAGCCTTTTACCATTGTTATTTCTTTGATATCTACTTACATCTAAGTTACATTTTAATGAAGCTGGAAGTTTTGATTTGCCGTAATTCAATCATTGTACTGTGTTTATATTTAATTCTGGATTGTAACATTTAGAGTGTACCAAATGCACTCCCTTTGTTATCATGTGCGCAGCCACTGCTGGTCAGTTGCGCCATTAATAAATTTTGCCTTGCTAAATACTTGTGCCTGTCACTCAGTCTATCATTATTAGCCCCTGACACATTCAGCACATACCAAATAGTTCACCTCAACACAAGCAGTGTGTCCACAGAGTGGAAGACTCGAGTAATTTGAAAAAGGATCGGCGCAGTCTCGGGTCGGGGCGTGTCGGGGTGTCGACTGCCGTATGCCGTCGCCGTCCTGACTGCCGGTGTCGGTATCGTTTTCGCCGTGACCCTGCCCTTGCTGCTGTCTGCCATCACGACTGCCGAGCCGAGAGTCGACGGCGGCGTCGCCTTTGGAAAGCGCCGGTGCCAATCCGGCAGATCCTTTTCCTTTATCCCTTTCGACTACCCGCCACTTCGCCACTTGTTCCTAGCTGCTTGTTCCGCCTCCGCTCGTGTGGGGGCGTTGCCTCTCGCTTCGCGCATCTTGCCTCTTCCGCGGCACGCGAGCCTCACGCGAGCGGCACGCGGCGCGCACTCCGGCCTTCCGGTCCTGCGACGCCGGGGGCCGGAAGGAGCAGAAGAAGCGCGTCTTCGTCTTCGAGGACAGGAAGCGCTCGCACCTCGCGCTCCAGCCCCGCCTCCCTCCGCGCGGCGATGCACTGCACCCCGCCGGGGCTTGGGCTTTCCCCCATCCCCAACACACAGACACGACTCCGCCCCGTGCTCACGTTCGCGTGGTGTGTCACGTTCCCTTTGGTGGCTGTCGCCGTCACCGATGCAAAGAACAACGCAAACGGCGTACTCATGCGGCACATTGAGCCCGACGGCCAGAGGCGCCAGAGGGCCAGCCGCACTCGATATTTGGAGGTCACAGTTGGAGGCGCGCGGTGCGGTGCCGCGCTGCGCTCGCTGCACCCTTCCCCGCCACCGCGGCCCCCGCGGCCCCTCCACTCCGGTCTCCCTGGCCGGCCGGGCCGACAAGCCGACACGGGTGGGGTGCTCGCCGTGCTCGCTGGGAATGGCGGCGCTGGGCTGCGCGGGCGTGAGCGAGAGCGACAGAGGGTAGGGACTGGACGGATTGGCCACATTCACTCACTCGCCGCGCCTCCGACAAGTCAGCCCGTTTCGCGAAGGTGCCGCACGCCAGTATGACCGTCGGCCTCCGCTCCTGACTAGTGTGCCCCAGTCCGCCCCGCGCCCCGCGCCCCCCAGTGCACCTCCGCGTCGCGCCCCTGCGCGAGTTCCGTGCACCGTGCCGGCCACCATGAAGGGCCTCATCGTGGCTGTGACGTGCCTCGTCGCCCTGGCCGCGGCCGCGGGTGGCGACGACGCCGTGCTGACCGTCAGCTCGGCCGGGCCCGGCGTGCCGACGCCCACCCCGCTGCGGTCCAGCACCGCGGCCGACACCATGTCCAGCGTGGACTGGACCAACGCGCCGCCACCCACGCCGACGCCCGCCACCAACATGACCAGCCTGGACTTCCTGCTGGACGTGTTCAGCGTCGACCGCCTGGAGCACGTGTGGGACGCGCAGGCCAACCTGATCACGGCGGAGTGCCACCGCGACATGGCCGAGTTCTTCGCCGCCAGGAGGCGCGCGCACATCTGGGCCCTCAAGAGTGAGTCTTTGGTGCAGCATGCAAGTGGTATTGCGCGAGCCGCACCGCTAGCCCGCGGGGTGCAGAGTCGTCAAACGACATGCGCCATGCGCCTCGCCGCCTTGGCTTGACTGACTAGACGACCGGGCGGCGAGGCGGCGATTGGCGCAACATTTAGAGCGGTATTTGAGGCCTGGCATGCCTGGCATGATGCAGCGGACCGGCGGGGCGCGGGCCGAGGCGAGGCGAGGGTACTCCAACCTCCAGCGGCCACGGGGGCCGTGCGCCGTACGGGGCAACGGGGGGCGGGTATGCATAAGCGGCCCAAGGTTTCCCTCCGCGGCGCCGCGCCCGACCACGCCGCGGCCCGCGGCTGGCTCAAGCAAGAGGCTGGCTCAAGAAGCACAGAGAGAACTAATTGCCTCGCGCCTCGCGGACGCCACGCCGCGGACGGTCGCGGACGCCATGGGTCGAGGCGCTGTGGCGGTCGCGGAGTGTAAGGTGTAACTCGCCGCGATGCATGTGCAGCAGCAGGCGTGGAGCGAGCGCGCGCGGCCATACGATCATGTGTGGTCTAGCCCGTAATGGTAATGGTAATGAAGCGCCCGGCGGGTAGGCTAGCCCGAACGCGCGGCTGCCTTCTGCCTGCCTACGCGAGGGAGGACGCGGCGCTCAGTCTTGCCGAGCGATGTCTCTGTCGCTCCCATGGCTAGGTCTAACACTATTTCCATCGAGCACACGGTCCCGGAGGATTGCGAGAGGGACAGAGCGATCGCTCGGAATCGCTCGGCAGTCGATTGAGCTGGCAGCCGACTCAGTAGGTGGCTCCAGTAAAGCGCGGGGTTGGCTCGCATCCAGAATCCAGGCGGCATTCCGCGACGGTTGTTGGCTTGGCTTACAGCACCCTTTTGTTCCACCCGACGCGACCACGCGACGGTCTAGCCTAGCATGGCCGAAGGTCTCGCCGTCCGTCTGTCTGTCTGTCCGTCTGTCGATGGCCCGGGCAAGTAATAAGTGGCCGCGTGTTCCGGACCTTGCTCGTGCAAGTGCTTGGCCGGGTGTTTGGATTTCACAACGCCACACCCGCCACATCGCGGCGCGGCGCGGCACGGCGCGGCCCGCTCGTTTGGGGAGTCGCACGGAGACCTTGTCCCGCCCCGCCCGACTGATGACAAGAATGTTCCGCGGAAACAGACGAAAGGGGCTGACGCTGCCGTCCGCGGCCCCGCCGAGTGGCGCCCAGTGCGAGAGAGACGGAGAAGGTGCGCGCGTGTCCGCGTGTCCGCGTGTGCCACATTCGCGGCGGAATCGGAATCACAACAGAGGCGTCGTCATCCGACCGCCGCACCGCACCGCCACCGGCTCGGGCCGACGCGTCGCCGCGCCGCCCGTCGCCTCGAACGCATCATGGCAGGTGGTCATTATTGAACCCGGGTTGGGCCGGGGGCAGCCGGGGGTCGCGGGTGCGTGGCGAGCCACTGGCGCCACTGGCGACTGCCCGCTGCCGCAACGGCCACCTGCTTGATGTGGGTCGGGAAGGCGAGGCGAACCGCCGAGCCTCGCCAGCGAAACTCTTTGCTTGGGCAGCACTTCGGCGGGCGGCGGCGGCGGCGGCGTTTGAACCCGCGACGGGACGGTCCGCCTAGTGAATGAGTCGCGACGTTACTCCATCGGGCGCGCATCCTGCCTGTGGTCCGCGGCTTGCCCGCGGCATGCCTCTGGCCGAGGGCGAGGACGTGGACGAGGACGGCAAGGACGCGGGGCGTTGCGCGCCGTGCTCTTTGGCCGGCCCGGCCGAACCCGCAAGAGTGATTAAAGCACTGTGCCGCGGAGTCGTTGCGAAAAGGAAAACGCAAGCAAACGGCCCAAACGGCAAGCGGCGGCCGAGGCGGCGGCCAAACCAAACGCGTGTGCTCATCGGCGTGTGTGCACAGCGGCCGGCCACGCCGACACGCGCCGCTGGGGGAAACGCTTTGTCATTTACATGACCGCGGCGGCATGGCAGGGCAGGGCACGGCAGCCGTCTGATTCCGAGCACTGCTTTCGTCGCTCCGTCTCTCTCGCACTCATGGGGCGGTCCGTAGGGGTGCGAGAGCGACAGAGTGACGAAGCAGGGCAGGGCGGCCGGCTTGTGGTACAGTTATATGTGAAAGTGCGTCGACGGGGTGGCCGGGTCGGGGCTGGCGAGGGCAGGGGGCAGGGCCACCTGCCGGCCGGGTGCAGCACATGGTAGCCAGGTCACGGCACGCCACGGCCCCGAGTCGTCCGCCCCGTCACCGGCTGGCCAGCGCTGACGCTGACGCACCCCGATGCATCCCCGCGCAGCAGGCGGCGTGGGCGGTGGGCCGCACCATATCATGCGTGTTCTGCGGTTGCCATTCTTTTTGAACTCGTTTTTTTTCGCTGGTCAGCACGATTGGTGACTCTAATCTTCACCCCCCTGGCAGCCATCGAATGCCACAGGCGGGCTGCCTTCTGCTGCGTTCTCAAGCGTTCGTGGAAAAGAACTCCGTTCGCCCACGTGGACTACTTGAGCTCCGCTCAGCCAGTCAGCAACCCCGGGAAAAATGAAAGTCTTTGAGCGGTCACTTGACGCGCGGCTCGTCAGCTGGTATTTTCGAACACCGGGAATACAGTGACATGTTTTTGTTTTTCTTTCGCGTTTGCTGAGTGAGGAGTGAGGTAGGATGGGACGGGCAGCGGCGGCACACGTTGCGCCAAGCGGGTGCAACACGAACAGTGAACAGCGAGCGACCAGCGCGGGGCTCGGCTCTATGCAAGGCTCCGGAGGGGGCAGGCAGCAGGCAAGCAGGCAAAGAGCACCCCCTCCAGACTGCGGGCCTGCGGGCCCTACAGGCCGAGCCGCTGGCCGCCAGCTTGTCTGTCGCGAGGCCTTTGCGTGCCTGGCCGCTTGCCTGGCCGCCGCCAGTACTTTTATCTTCACCTGCAGGTGCTGTTGTCGCTCCGTCTCTCTCGTACTCGTGGGGCATCCCGTATGTGGGAGAGAGAGAGACTGCAGACTCGTCGCGAGTCGCGACCGCAGCGAGTGAACGTGGTTACGGAGAACGAGCTCGCCCATCTCCACCTTGCGCGAGAGTACCGCGAGGGGCGGCGCTGCCCGGCGGACACTGTGCATCACGCCGCCGTGGACGCGCCGTCGCCGTCCTCCTCGACGTCCCCGACACCCTGAACCCCTGGGGCTGTTTTGCCTGGCCGGCATCGTTCTTCGTTCTGGCCGTCGGGCCGCCATTACTGGGAGCCTGCTGGAAGAGCTCGCTGCAAGCTCGGCCGGGGGCGGCGGGCCGCGAGCCGCGAGCGAAACGAACGTCTCGGCGGAAATATCCCAACGCACTGCCTAAACAAGAATCGGCGAGCCAAGCTCGGCCAGGGGGACGGCGGGCGCAGCAGCCGCGAGCGAAGACGAACGTGCCGGACGGAAATACCCAACGCACGCCGACAGACAAGACAGACGGCAGACGGCCACTGCGCATGGGTGCGGTACGCGCGGTGTCTATCGCGGGCAGTGGAGCGCCGTGGCAAATCTGTGGCTACGATCGCATCGTCAGAGCTATGCTCGCCGCGCGGCGGCCCCGCGCCCCAACCCCGTCCCGAGAGTATTTACTTCGAGCGAATATAGGAGGCAGGCGCCACGCAGAGGCAGGCGGTGTTAGCGGTGTCTGGTCGGTGTCTGTGCGCCCTGCAGAGTGATTCCGCGCACTGTGGGAAGGCCTGCCGCCTCCCTGTGCGAGAGAGACAGGCCGATACCTCCCCATGAGTGGGAGAGAGACAGCGGGTACGCGGTAGGCCCTTGGGTAGGCCTCCCGGGCCTGCCCGCAGTGCGCGGAATCACACTGCAGTGACCCCTGCCAGCGCCAGCCTCAGCAGCCTTAGCTAGCCGTAGCGAGCGGAGAGCTGGCCGCGCCACGCCGCGCCCCTCCCCGCCCCTCCGCTCCCCGTCCCCGCGCCCCGAGTGAGGCAATGGGCTGCTGGAGCTGGAGCCCCCAGCTAGGTGCGGTAGGTGCGGTAGGGCAGGGCGCCGCTGCGCCGCCGAGTGCCGAGCTCTCGGAGCACTGCCGAGGCCACCGTCTGATTGCTGGCTGGGGCCTCGTAGTGGGCCGCGTGGTGGGCCGCGGCGCCGCGGCCGAGTCCCAGCCGAGTCCGTGCCGCGGCGGCCAGCACCGCAGCTCGTACTCCACATCGAGGGGCCGAGGGGCCGAGAAGCCGAGAGGCCAGGCCGCATGCTCAAGTTATTTGCGCCATTGAACAGGCGCACCGTGGGCCGATGCCGGACAGTGTGATCGCGCCTCTGTCTCTCTCGCACTCGAGGGGCGCTCCGCGGGGGCGCGAGAGAGACAGGGCGACGAAAGCGCGGGCTGAAGCCACGACGGCGGGCGGTGGGCGGTCGGCCGGCCTATGACGGGCCAGGGTGCCGTGGATTGGCGTCACGGCGTCAGGCATTGGCGACAGGGCGTCACCGGGAAGAGGCATTTCTTCACCTTTTACGGCATGCTGCAGCGCGCTACAGCGGCCACCCTGTCCTGTCCTGCCCTGCTCCCGTTTATTCGTCATTGCGTGCCAAGCCTGCCTGGAACCTGGAACGGCCTGGATCGGCCTGGATCGGCACGGCGCGAGATCGCGATTCCAGAGCGACCCTTACCTCGCCTCCTCGAAATGATAGGCATTAGACTCTACTCAGCGCCAGTGCCCACTCTGCCCAGTGCAGTGGTGCCTAGTGACTCAATGAGGCAACCGGCGGGTCAAGGCGGCGTCGCGGCGTCGCGCCGTCATGCCATCGGTGCAAACCTGTTCCATACACTTCCAGCATGCACCCAGCTGGCCCAGCAGCCCCAGCCCCCAGCACCCGGTCCAGGCCCTTGCCGCGGTGCGCGGTGCGCGATCGCTTTGTAGCGCGGCCACCCCAACCGGTGTGACGTGTCACGTCGCCCTCAGAGTCGTTCCGTCGCTCTGTCTCTGTCGCACTCATGGGGCGCTCCGCTATCGCCCGGGCACTGATACCAGGA